CTGTTCGACGCGCGCGGGTCGCTGGGAGTCCACTGCGCGGTACCCGTGTCTGTTGCGCTGTCGTTTACGCAGTTTGTTTTCCGGTAGCAAATGAAACTGCACCCACCCTTCCCCCACACGGACGATCCTCGAGCGGCCGAGGGATGGATCTTTCTGGTAAACAGGCGACAGCCGCGTGCGCGCCACGTGTCTGTGCCTGGTGGCTTCACGTGGCTTTACGTGGCGCATGCTCCCGCCCTGGCAGGAGAGAGACTGGCCTTGCGCGCGTGCGCACGCTTCCGACTCGGCCTCGGCCGGGCAGGCAGTGTTACTGCCGGGATGCTCATGTGATGCCCGACTTGGTGTGACGTTGCCTGCCTTAAGGTGTTGTGTTGGTGTCTTCACTAACCCGTGTCCGTGACATGGCCATCTGCGGTAATCTTGATCTAGCAGTGTTCATAGTCTTCGCTGTCATCTTGTCCTGTGATCTCCCTCCGGCACGCCTCCGTGATTGGCTCTTGTGAGACTGCTCTCCAAACTTTCGCCCAGATTCCGCTTCGTCATGCCATCATGTATTGGCCTCCATGCCGCTGTTAAATGGACTGAAACCAGATTGCACCGTCTCTCCCTGATTCTACTTGCCCCTCTGCTGAAGAGCATCTGTCTCCAAAGACGGGATACCTCCCTGCTGGACGCACTGACGCCTCTCGGCCTCCGCTTCCTCATAACCAGCCCCCTGCGCACGTGCTGGTGCCTGCCTACTGCACACGCCACGTGACCCGCCTGCCGCCGAGACATTCATTCGCCCCGCATGTGTCCGAGCCGGGCCGGGCCGGTGCCGCCTTTGTGCCGTGCAGCGCTGCGCCGGCCTTTGACCTCCGCGCCGTCGCTGCGATGGCCCCTGACCTCCACGCTGCCGCTGCGCCGGGCGCCTGTCGGCCAGCTGTGGCCGCGCGTCCGCCCTGCGCAGGCTGCCGCTCCTGAGAGCTTTGAATGGTGCCGCGACCGGCGCTGCGTGCCGGGAGGCGGCCGTGTTAAGATCCGGCGGCTGGTGACGGTGTTAGCTGTGACTGATGCCTTTCCGTGTGCTATTCCTTTGGAGCAGTGTGAGCACTGAAAGATACTAACAAGCCCGGACGCTGTGCAAAAGACAAGTTTGGTCGCTAGCTGCCTGTTCCTTGATGCTGTTTGTTACCGTGCCAAGGCAGTGTTGTCTGGTATATGTCGGTGCCGTCGCGCCCGAACTGGGCCGTCGTGATGTCGGTGGCACGCACGGCTTCCTCCCGGCGATGTACGCGGTCGACCGCCGGCTGAGTCACAAGCCTTGAGGCTGGGCGGGAATCAGCCGGTCGGACCGATCACGGCTGGTGTCGAGGTGGCTGACTGTGTCACCTCTGTCTGTTGGGTTCGTCTCGTGTTAGCTGTTACCTGCGGGCTATTTCGTCTCTCACGTGCTTGTCACGGTGTGGGAGGTAACGTAGCGTTGTGAGCGGCAGAGCTGGTCAAGTCCCCTCTTGGCGTCTGTTTGGTGCTCCTCGTTTGGTGGTCCTTGCTTCAGGAATGTCCTCGTCCCGGGAGGTGTTCGGTGGGCGTCGACTGCGCACAGTATCCGTCGGTCTTGGCAGACGGTGTCAGGGTGTAAGCGTCATCTCTGACGTCATTGTCTCGCCGCCGAGTAGTGAGCGTGCGCTGTGTGCCGATAACACCAGGTCATTAGCCAGGGCCGCCTAGACTGGACGTTTGCGAGGCAGCGCCATGCCAGGCCCTCTGCCACCTTCGAGGAGCTGTGAAGCCACACGTCAGGGCAAGGGCCTCGGGCTGGGTTGGAGCCCATTGTTACTGTACTTACCGCAGATTGGCACGATGATGGAGCTCACGCTTATTGGCGATCAAAGTTTTTTTGCGTGTTGACGTCCACAAATTTGTCCAAAGAGGGCCGCTTGCGGTCCGTGACCGCCGCCATCTGTGAACGGGACCGTCTGTCAGCAATGTGCGCGTATGCCGGCAGGCGGCGCGCGAGTCGAGCGACAAGTACGTGCGCGTGCTGCTGACTGTGTGCATGGCGTGCCAGACGGAGATCGTGGGCGACAAGTCCGACCTTTCCAAGGTCACCCGGGACCAGCTGCGCTGCAAGATCACGTACTGCTCCGTCGGTGAGTTGGCTGCGGTGCGGGGTGCCGCCTGCCGGCCTGCCAAACGACGTCGGCGCTGGCTGCGGTCCTGTGTCGCTGCCGTCGGCCGAGATTGGGGATGTGTGCACCATCACTCTCGTCGGGAGGGAGGGATCGGTGGGTGTGTGCACCATCACTCTCGTCGGGAGGGAGGGATCGGTGGGTGTGTGCAGCGTCGCTGCCGTGGGGGGCAGGGATCGGTAGGTGTGTGCACCATCACTGTCGTCGGGAGGGAGGGATCGGTGGGTGTGTGCGGCGTCGCCGCCGTCGGGGGGAAGGATCGGTGGGTGTGTGCGGCGTCGCCGCCGTCGGGGGGAAGGATCGGTGGGTGTGTGCGGCGTCGCCGCCGTCGGGGGAGGGGAGGATCGGTGGGTGTGTGCGGCGTCGCCGCCGTCGGGGGAGGGGAGGATCGGTGGGTGTGTGCGGCGTCGCCGCCGTCGGGGGGGAAGGATTCCCGGTGAGGTTGTGTGGCGGCGTCGCCGCCGTCGGGGGAGGGGAGGATCGGTGGGTGTGTGCGGCGTCGCCGCCGTCGGGGGAGGGAAGGATCGGTGGGTGTGTGCGGCGTCGCCGCCGTCGGGGGAGGGGAGGATCGGTGGCCGTCATGTGTCGTGACGTGCTGAGTCGATCCGTTTTCGATTTGGAGTCTGGTTCAACGTCCGCTATCTCGTTGGATTTCTTTGGAGTACCAACAGCTGTGTATTTAGTTCTCGCATGTTTGGTTAATGATGCCTTTGGTTTAAAACACCGTCCATACTTATTTTGGGGCGGCGGACGGCTGATATCGGCTTAGCTCGGCTGGAAGATGCGTCAAACCACGTGATGGTCACATCTGTAAACTATATAGATGGCTTGATGCTTTGGATATGTCTGAGTTGTGACACGTGAGCAGTGTTCTGTCATTGGGCCTTCATTTTGGTGTTTTCATGTACTGTTATTCAACCCTCTCGCCCCCATCTATCTCCTCTGTCCGTCGTTGCCCCCCCACCCCCAGAAAGGCTCCGTTGGCGCGGCGTCGACACCCGTCCGGCGCCGAGACTCGTTCGCAGGCCGGTCCGCTCACAGGGTGAGCCCTGACGCAGCTGTCCGGCGTGTGTTGCAGTGAACCCCGGCGGCTGGGCGCCCACGTCCGCTCTGCGTATGGTCTACAAGCGCGAATACCCGCGCTTCCTCAAGCGCTTCACCGGCTACGTCATAGAGCAGTGCAAAAACAAGCCGATCCAATGGTAGTGGCGGGCCGCGCTGCGTCGTCGGGTGGTTTTGTGTCGCGCAGGACTGCCCCCGCCGGGAATTGGGCGGGACTCGCGCGCCGCCGGGAGTGGGGCGGACAGCCCGGACTCGTGCGCCGCTGTGCGTTCCTGGACAGTCCGTGCCGCGGGTGTATCGCGTCCGGAGGTGACCAGTAGTCGGCGGGGCATGGGCGAGGTGTGCGTGTGTGTTTGTGTGTGTGCGTGTGTGCGTGCGCACGTGTGCGCCCGTGCGCACACGTGTGTGTATGTAGAGTCGGTTTCAGTGCGGCCGTGGATAATTAGGATGCTGCGTCGCGGTGTGTCCGGTGACCTGGGCTTTGCTGCGGTGCACTTGGGCGGTGGATGATGGCAATGACCCGGTGCAGCGTGCCTGCGCACTGCTGTGAAGCTCAGGTCCAGTGTGAGGCGGTCGACGGGATGCTGGGTAGCGGAGCGTGTCTCCGGGTCTGGTGTGACGACGCAGGTGGGGAGGTGGCTGGCTTCTCCCCGGACGACCCCCGCCGCCATCTTGGCGTGCCGTGTGTATGGCTGCGGTGACTCGCGCGTGCTTGTGTCGATGGGTCGGTATAGAGGGCGCCGGCATGCACCTCGCGAGGATGGGGCCGGCCCCGGTGTGCAGGGTACGGGTCTGGCAGATATGAGCGACGCCGGGCACGCTGTGCCGGTCCGCCGATGGCTGGATTGCTGTCCGACGACGGCGTCTCTTGATCAGGGCAGCAGTCCGCCAGGCTGGCCTGTGCTGGCCTGCTGGGCTCCTTCACCCTATGCCGTGGGCTGCTGGGCTCCTTCGCCCTATGCCGTGGGCTGCTGGGCTCCTTCCCCCTATGCCGTGGGCTGCTGGGCTCCTTCGCGCTATGCCGTGGCTTACTGGGTTCCTTCGCCCTATGCCGCGGGCCGAGGACGCCGCTGCCGAGTATCTCAAAGCCCGCTGTGTGGGCTCATACATATCCCGTGGGCTTAACCCACCTATGCACTCGTCGTGGCCGCTTCCCTAACAGGCAGAGTAGTGGCAGCCTCATTTGGCGAGGGTGGTATATATTTGTATACTGAAGACTGTTTGGGTGCTGTCTGCTACACTTTCGCGTGTGGTGTATGAACTCCATTGCAGAAGCTGCTTCCTACTTCCAGTACCACGTGTTCAACTCGTACAACTTCACTTCGTACATCTGTCCGCGCGGATCTTGCATCAAATATGCATTTGTATGGATCCCACTGCATTGTGCTCAGATGCGTTCGGATGTTAATCAGTTGTGACGTGAGCATTGGGGAACATGATTATGGTTATCGTGTTAACCGACGCATAATTGCGATTGTTGTGTTCGTTGTTTACCACTGTTGATATCAGTGATCTGACGGTTTAATAGTCATTTATTTTGTGTATTTCAACTTTGCTATCGTCGCGCACAGTTTAAGCATCATATTCTTCGTTATATGGGAAAATGAAGAATACGTTGGTCTCCAGCGCGTTTTCCTCACTAAGGTCATCTCGCTTCTCTCACTCGGGAAAGTAATGATCTTTTTTTCGACACCGTAGCAGCTGGAGGCGTGCTGTGGCAATGCCGGGTGCCTTCACTTTGGAAAGGCTCTCCGACGCGTCTGTTTGTCGGCCCGTAACCACGGGGCGTCGGCCGCGACCGAGCGCTTATCGCTCCTCTCCATTACCTCTCTCTTCGCGGCGCTTTCGGCGCCGGCGCTGGCCACGGCGCGGTGGAGTCGACCGGAGAAATCGACAGCTGGCGGGACGCCCCGGGTACCCGCACGCGCGCGCGCGCCGGCAGACGACTAAAGTGAAACGGGGCGGCCGGCGGCGAGTACGACGGATGGCGAGGCGGGCGCGAGCCACAACTGGTGTAGCGGCGGCACGTGGCGCGATGGTGACCCAGGGTCGCGACCTGAGCGGCCCAACAGGGTCGTGCCACGGAGTACGACCGCAGCGTGCCGAAAACCAATGCGGCTCGTGTTTGTGTGCCATTTGTTGGCTGCCGAGCCGCCGCGATGGCGTACTTGCGCAAGAGACTGTCGCTTTCGTTCAGAACAGATGGGTCTTCGTTCCGGTTTGCGCGGCATTGTTTGCTGCTCATTACCAGCGGGTCCTCGGACTCAGGAGCCTTTTTAAATAGTTGGCTCATCTCCCCGGAATGACTTGGCTGAGTGGTTTTTCAAAAATTAATTTTAAAGTTATAAGTTATTTATATAATTTCAAAAGCTAAGCTAATGGCGACTACGGATGACAATGCGTTCTCAGGTACAATGATTTTGCAGGCGGTACTGTATAAATTTTGAAGCATTTCCATCCGCACTAATTTATCAGGCGCGGTTTTGGTATAGCGCCGGCGTGTAAGCTTATGTAGCCTTCCGCTTCAAGTAGCAAGTGAAATCACAATTTCCTATTCGTGAAAAAGCTGCCGAATAAGGGCCGGAACCGGGTTCAGATCTCCAGCCCCGGCGTCGCGGTGATCGCGGGATCAACATTGCTGGCGGGTGAAAAGACGAGCGTGCCGATGTCAGGGCCAGCACGAGTCGACGCACGCGGCGTTCGCACGCGCCTCAGCTCAAACCAGGGATCCGCTAGTTTTGGGCAGGGCCATGGGCTGACGTCAAATCTCTGCAGCTGAAGTGGGTAGAACTGGGACCGGCCGCGCTGCGTGAACGAAAGCACCGCCTACGGGTTATTAAAGCAATTACAACTTTGGCTGACCCATTCGCGCGCCAGCAATGCAGGAGGTGTGTGTGTACGGACGTGTAAAACACTGAAACATTAAGTGGCCATTGTGAGTGTCGAGTCCATAATATTTAGGGGAGAGACATGTCTGACGTACAAGAGAGACATACATGAGACATGAGGCATGGACACTCGTAGCAATGATCACACAGGAATGTATCAAAGGCACACACAAAATACAAAAATGCAATCCACCAGCAAGCAATGTGTGGGAAAGCATACGGTTCGCATTTTTGTAACGTCTGCAAAGCTGACAGGAGCTCGATATTCGCATTCAGCAGGAATCACAACCTATTCAATGTCGCTCAAACCAGGCGCACAACCAGACCATGGCACGCCAACCAGCTAAACAGATTGTACCACGGATGTAGTAGTTTGGCATATAGGTTGTGAAGGGTTCAAATCGAATTACCCCCTCTAGTTTTTTGTCTATTTATTTTTGTCTATTTATTTTGTGTCTATTATATTTTACCCCCACTACCTTTTTCACACCATCCGATTCGTCTTTGCCCGACGAGTCCAAAGATGTGTGATTTGGCTTAGTGTATTGCATGCATAGGCTTGCATCTTCATCTGGAGTGAAAAACAATCTAAGACCAACGTCATATCACGAACCACCGAAGTACCGTGCTGTCATATTTGCACTAATGACGCGTCGTGCTACGCTCTGAGCAAACTCTCATCTGCGTGCTACGCTCTGAGCAAACTCTCATCTGCGTGCTACGCTCTGAGCAAACTCTCATCTGCGTCACAGTTCCACTGATGCTACGAAACCTCCAACTGCAAGTGATCCAACCAGGGAACGGGTCAAGTCAGGTCAAGCAATGGTCATATGTAATGTTTAGGGCGCGCCAACTGTGTGGCCATTTCGCGCCCGGGAAAGGTCAAGCCGTGTGTGATGGAAAGCGGAAACAAACAGCATAGTGTTCGACGCCCTATGACATTTGTCAACTAATGATGCTATTGCATACGCTTCTTAAGCATGTAACGATGTTGGATCATTCCTTTTTGTGATATGGGGCCGTTTTAACATCACGTCCTGCATCAAGGGAGCTTTGGTGGAGCGTAACCGAGGCGCAACAGGGGAGAGGTGCGGGGATGGGCGGCATAACGTGGCGCTCAGATGTAGCTGCAAATCGTGTTTAAGGTTTTTGTCGTAGAACTTTAAGCCCAGATACCGTTGGCTTCATTTTATCACAACACAACGCGACCGTCGCTGTTTTGCAGTTCTGACTCAGTTAGGGGCCAAACGGGTATTACCTTGTTGGGACGTAAGCACGGAGCGTAACGAGTGAAGCCGTGGGTTGGCCCAGTGCGACCGTCGCGCAAACAGGGGGTAGGGATGAAAGGTGCCCACACATGCGTAATGAATTCATCAAAGTCCTTTATTGGCTGCTTTTTTAGCCAATTTCTTTACTCGATGTCTTGTTTGCCACAGAGCATTGCAGAGTGAAAGCCACGGCCCCCAAGGATTTTTCAACGTCGACTCAGGCGCAGCCCAAGTGTAGGCACGTGATTGTAGGGGTGTGGGTGTGGGTCTGCTGCATTCCTTAGCCCACGCCTTGAAAATTGCGACTTCCCGAAATCACAGCATTCGGAATTCACTACATCGCTTTTCGACATCCGCTCACAGGCCCGTGGAAACCAGCCAATTTTGACCCTTTAGCGCCTGGGGCCCCATAGTATAGCAAATCAGACCCTCCAGCGCCTAGGACCCCATGGTGTAGCAAATCAGACCCTCCGGCGCCTAGGGCCCCATGGTATAGCAAATCAGACCCTCCAGTGCCTAGGACCCCATGATATAGCAAATCAGACCCTCCAGCGCCTGGGGCCCCATGGTATAGCAAATCAGACCCTCCAGCGCCAAGGACCCCATGGTATAGCAAATCAGACCCTTTAGAACTTAGGACCCCATGGTATAGCAAATCAGACCCTTTAGCGCCTGGGGCCCCATGATATAGCAAATCAGACCCTCCAGCGCCTAGGACCCCATGGTATAGCAAATCAGACCCTTTAGAGCTTAGGACCCCATTGTACAGCAAATCAGACCCTTTAGCACCTAGGACCCCATGGTGTAGCAAATCAGACCCTCCAGCGCCTAGGGCCCCATGGTATAGCAAATCAGACCCTCCAGTGCCTAGGACCCCATGATATAGCAAATCAGACCCTCCAGCGCCTGGGGCCCCATGGTGTAGCAAATCAGACCCTCCAGCGCCAAGGACCCCATGGTATAGCAAATCAGACCCTTTAGAACTTAGGACCCCATGGTACAGCAAATCAGACCCTTTAGCGCCTGGGGCCCTATGATATAGCAAATCAGACCCTCCAGCGCCTAGGACCCCATGGTATAGCAAATCAGACCCTTTAGAGCTTAGGACCCCATGGTATAGCAAATTAGACCCTTTGGCGCCTAGGACTCCATGGTATAGCAAATCGGACCCTTTAGCGCCTGGGACCCCATGGTATAGCGAATCAGACCCTCCAGCGCCTAGGACCCCATGGTATAGCAAATCAGACCCTTTAGAACTTAGGACCCCATGGTATAGCAAATCAGACCCTTTAGAACTTAGGACCCCATGGTATAGCAAATCAGACCCTTTAGCGCCTGGGGCCCCATGATACAGCAAATCAGACCCTCCAGCGCCGAGGACCCCATGGTATAGCAAATCAGACCCTTTAGAGCTTAGGACCCCATTGTATAGCAAATCAGACCCTTTAGCACCTAGGACTCCATGGTATAGCAAACCAGACCCTTTAGCGCCTGGGACCCAATGGTATAGCAAATCTAATCCGCCCCATGATTGCTTGCATGCATACGCAGTTTTAACGTCGACTGGACGGCTCATGACTGGGGCGCGTCAGATCGGGTCACTTTTTCCGAAAGTAGACACACAGTACATATTGTCAGAGCCTTTCAGTCGCTCAGGGACCATCAGGGGCCAATTAGTGAGTCTGAATCAAGCTGTGCTGCAGATGGTCTCGAATGTTCTGCCTGCTTCACTGGTCAGCTTTTCATGCGATTTATATACGTCGATAACTACTGTTTACATGGGACGTCTTCACGAACAGCATGCGATAAATAATGACTTGCAGTGCACGCAGAAAAACCGCTGCCGACGTTTAAAAATGAAGTTAACAGAAACGCGAGCATTGTAAGGCGTCGCCCATCGATGTGCGACGGCCACCAGAACCATAAATAGTGAGCTCTCGCTGCAAGCTTTCAAGTCATTGGCTGTGTAATTAGCTGAGGCCCCACACGCGGCGTTCATGTGTATGAAGTGGGGTTCTCGGGACCCCCACGCTCAGTGGTTCACAAACTGATACGCACTGTCACGCGGCTGCGGGCGCTGCTCCAAGCCGATGCTCATCGGTTCGTCTGGCTGCCGCCTCCTCGCCAGTTTCACTCCTTTGTGACGCCCTGGTCGAACACGGCGGCCAGCCAGCGTGCGTGGTGGCTGGCGCGCAGCCGGGCTATAAAACGGCTGGTCACGGCACGTTCTCACCACTGCGTGAACGGATCCGACGGCAACATGAACACGAAACTGGTGAGTGGCAGTGAGCATGTGCGGAGGCCCAGTCGTGTGTTGTCTTTTTGATCTGATGTCGGCAAGGTGGTGATGAGTGGCACACACATTTTGGACCGTAGTGGGCCTCCTAAGCCGTTAGGCTCAGACCGGGTTAACGTTAGTTCACGTCACCGTCCAACTGATCCAAATCAAGGTTGTCTAAAAAGTTATGTTAGGCGTTAAAAGTTATGTTAAGTTATGTTATGTTAAATGCTAAGTTATGTTAAAAGGTTATGTTAAGTGACACTGCGTCATGCTGTCTGCTGTTTACTTTTGACTCATGTGATCACAGTGCAGGTAAGACCTGTGTGTATTCCAGATATGTTAAGATGTTGCTAACTATGCGCGACAGCCAGCAGTGCCGATGGTAAGCGTGAGAGAGCGGTTTGACTTGTCCACGTGCCATGCGCTGCTTACCATTTATTGACTGCCCACTTGCCTTACTCGTTGATTATTGCTGTCTCTGTGTCTTGGCGGTATGACTAACGAAATGACGAGTGCAATGATCGTTCCCCTAACCATTCCGCCGAATTCCATCATCGGTTCATACTAGCAGGACCACGTGCTCCTGGGTGCAAACGCGCTCTTGCGTTGCATAGGACATTTCGCCGTTCATATGTGGGATTGGAAACGCTATGCTAACCAGTTGACATAATGCCATCATCGGAAGTGCGCTGCTAAGCCTGCTGTCGACATTCGGGAAGCGTGCTTGATGGTATCAGAACGATACGCGGTTGGCCGCTAACCAGCATTGCCCCCCTCCTCGATGGCGATCACGTCTGCGGCCCCGGCCCGCGGTAAACGCCAAGCAGGTGCCGACCGGCAGTGCGACAGCAGTGGACTTGAGACACATTTACACCATGTATGACCAAGTAGGGCCACCCTTTTCTCGCACGGAACTGCAATACGCAAAATGCCGTATAAAGGCTAGTTTCCACCCATCAAAACTATGGGGCAGTGTGGGGCAATGGGGCGCCGGTAGCGTAGTAGTCAAGCTGCGCGTCTGGGGAAACCAGAGGCACAGGATTCAATTCCAGGCCATACCCATCTTTTGTGCCGGGGTAAGCGGCAGGCGACGCCACATAGTTTCGGCAGCTGAGTGCGTCGTCAAACTCTGATGAGCCACACACTACCTACGACGCACTACTACACCAACCGCACGGCAGGCAGCAGCACGTTTCCGTGCCGTCCGGAGGCAGCCGCGGTCGCGCCTGACCGTCGTGCCCCTCTGGCGGCAGGTTGTGCTGAGCGTGCTGCTGGCGGTGACCGTCGCCATGCCGCGGTACGTGCTGGTACCGCTGGAGCAGCTGCAGCGGCTGGAGCCGGCGCCCCACGTGCGGGTGGCCCGCCAGGCAGTGCTGCCGGACGCTGAGAGCGAGCAGCTGGTGGCTGCCTCCGATGACAGGTCAGTTCCGACCAGTGGATGTCTCCAATCGATAAAGCTTTCCACGCTGGGATCAACTTTCAAGTTGGTTTCAAACGTCAATACATTTGCGTCTTCCGTTCATATTACATTTTGCTTTTGCATGAAACCACTCTTAACCCGGCGACCTGGCGAGAGGTCGTAATCCAATGAATCGCTTTCTGTAGCTATTTTGACGCTGTGTGTCTCGCATCACTTCGTTCGTGGCACGCTATTTGTACGCATCGACAACTCGGGTGACATTTTGACGTCATTAGCGTCAGACCGCTCGTGACGTGACACCGCAGCACGGCGTCAGCAGACGATACCTGCCTCAGACGAGCCCTGTGCACAGGTTCGTGCGCCAGTCGGAGCCCAGCTACGGCGGCCCCGACCAGGTCGACTACGGCGCGTACACGGGTGGCCAGGGCGCCTTCGGCTGGTACGCCGGGTACCCGGTCGGCGGCCGGCGCTAGAGCCCTTCCCCGTCCTCCACCTCCGACCACCAGCCCACCGCGTCGGCCTGACGGCGGGGCTGGGGCTGGGGCCGCGGCCGCGCGCCCCACCGCAGGGACGCGCGGCGCAGACCCGTGTCCGGCTCGCCCCGGACCTCAGCAGCGACGTTTGAGCGCCAACGCCGGGGCCGCCGGCCGCTCCGGCAGAACACGCGCAGCCCTGGCCGGGCCCCCGGCCGGCGGCCTGTGCCAGCGACGTCGTGTCCGACCTACCATGTCTTTCAATGCTTGTTATTGCCGTGAATGCATCTTGTTTCCGCCCGATTGTGATTTCAATCGCGAGAGGTGGCTTCTGACCGTCGCGCACAACAGGCGCCTTTAGAGCGCTCGGTTGTACCTTTCTGTTACGCATAGATGAGTACATCACGGTGATTCGTGGAGGCGCATTCAATGACACCAGATATGTCGGTATCGCCATGGGTCGCAACAGTCACCCAATATATGGTCACACGACTACTGCCCGAGCACCGAGCTACTACTTCAAAAGCGGTCCAAGATGCACATCCCACTTACGTTGACCCTGCACCAAAGCATTCCTTTCCCAGCGCACTGTCTCGAAGTCGAGGCGTTCTCACCCTCGCCAAGTGCATCGCAGATGCGGCAGTCGTCTACTACGTTTATTTCGCTTGGCTCTGGGCATATATACAGCATTATTGGTAACATGCAGCATGAAGGAAGCCGACAGAACACTAAAAAACTGTAGCGGAAACATCGCGCTACCGCAGTCGGAACCTCGAAAGTGGAATCGATCGATCAAAAGAAGCACTGCTTGCTCCTTACCGCTGTCGGATCAGCTTTCCACTGGCGAAACGGCGCCCCCGACAGCCGCCGCCGTTTCGCGCGCTGCTTTGTCACACAGGTGAGCAAACTAACTAAAAGGAAAGAAGAAGAGGCCTAGCCAACATTTATTGAGCTGTCAGCGAGCGAGAGGGCGCCACACCGCCGCGACGTCATAAAACAAGCGGCTTCTGCGCTCTTGTCGCCTCTGGCGGCGCCAGGACACAGCGACAACACGGAAGACAGGGCGAAAACGGGGCCAAACCGACCACCACATCGGGGACAAGCACCCACATACGGCGAGTATTCCAAATAATCTCTAAAAGTGTGACAATCTCTTAAAATCCTCCAAGGGTAGCAATGCCTGTGAAGCGGGTCGGGCGCAAAAGGTTGCCAAAAATTAAAACGGCTCATCACAAAGGTTCAAAGACTGCACCGAGGTGGCGCCGGCAGCAGTAGAAGCAGACAGAGCGACAGCGGGCAGGGTGGCGCGACGCAGCTAGACTCGACGGCTGGTTCGGAGCGGCGCCTCGATCCCCAGCCCCGTGATCACCGGTCCGGGCAGCTCGGGCAGCGTGGCTCGTCTCGACGACTCCCCCGGAGCGACGGCTCTATCCCCAGCCCCGTGATCACCGGTCCGGGCAGCTCGGGCAGCGCGGCTCGCCTCGACGGCTCACTCAGAGCGGCGCCTCGGCCGCCAGCTCCGTGATCACCGGTCCGGATAGCTCGGGTAGCGCGCTGATACACAGGAACTTCTTGTTGGCGTACTTCCGCGCCACGGCCTGCGAAGGCGCGCCAGGTCAGCAACAGACGACGCCGTGCCCGGCGCGCGGTCGTGGCGCGGGGTGTACCGGGACGGGGCAGGACGGACGGAGGGCGCAACGGTAGACACACGCCAAGGCATCCGAAACTTACTAATGCGCCGAAGAAAGCATGCCGTTCAATGGACACCTCATCCTGATCTGAAAATGGCCTCCTTACCGGGCCGTTAGTGGTTAAACGGAGTGTTCCATATGTCCACGGAGTCTTGCACTGGAATAGTCATCTTAAAGATCGTTTGGTGCAGCTCACAGCCCTGCCACTCCTTAATACCCAAACCCCTTCTAGTTTCTGAGCTACACACCCGCAAAGATGGGGAGACTATTTTGAGAGATTACTTCGATGTCACATTGGAATTCATCACGTCATAATAACCTTCGTCATTCAAATCCTGCCATTCCATAAGTCACTCGGCGACCAAGGCGAAGAAAATGCAATGGTAGAGTCGTTCATATCTGGCGTTCGCGGGCATGATTTCCAGAATATAGTATGGCCATCAATTGACTGTCAATCAACGCTGTGCAAGGTACGATGACGTGATCCAAGCAATGGCCTATTGAGCAGGATATTTACTAAACAGACAATTGTGCTGTCCCAGAACAGCTTTTTCCACTTAAAAGTACACCAATAGCAAGTAAGCTTATTTCATTATTTCCGATGCATGTTTCAAGATCTTTAAATGTGAAACATTCCCTTTAAGGCACCTTTACACTAGGGGCACATCGTCATTATTACGATAGCGCAAGTCCTAAACCCTTAACGTAGCATCAACATCGCAAATCTCGATGTACGCAACATAGAGGTTCAGGAAGATGACACGTTTACAAACGTTAGTTTGTGCCGGTACGTATTCCACAAGAGATTCAGTGCAAAAGTGAAAAGCGCCGCACGGATGCGAGCTAACTGGCAAGTGGGAGGTGTTCGCCCGACAGAGCATGACCACCTGTGCGCAGGTGTGCCTGTGCGGTGCATGCGCTGGTCACAGTTCACTGGTTTGATCCAGCGCATCTACGGCCCCAGGCCGCCGAGTGCTCACTGCTGCCACACGCCTGTACATCAGCCGCGCGAGAGACTCGGGACAGAAACACACCACCGTACAGCCGACTCACACACGGCTGTACATCAGCCGCGCGAGAGACTCGGACAGAAACACACCACCGTACAGCCCACTCACAGACGGCGACAAGCCGGCCAACCTGTGCGGCTTCTTGCATCGACAAATCCGTAATTGTGCGGTGGGCCAATAGGCCATCATAGCCAAAGCAAAGCCAAACAAGTAACTGATTTGAGTGGATATTGGTCGTCATACGTTGTGCATTACGCATGTGTCGTTTATGCGATATCATCTTGCTCGATTAAGGCGACAGCGTGTCGCATTCGAGATCCGTTTCGGAAAATGCGGCACCGGTCGTCCCCCAGGAACGATTGCCGAGGTCGCTATGGGTTGGGCAGCGTTGGGCTGCATGGGCGGTGGTTTGCAGACGGCACTTTAAGCCTTAGGAAATCGTACGCCATCGGCGGATTTTTGCACTTTCTAATATAAGATAGACGCAAGACTGCAACGGCCACTTACCACGCGCTTGGCACGGCTGTCCGCCAGCTTGTCGTTGGCCTTGAGCACCAAGTCGGCCAGCCGGCACATGGTCGGGCGCAGCCGGCTCTCGTCGTAGTACGAGTAGTGGGCCAGCGTCTGGGTCCAGCCCTCCGTGTCGTCGTCCTGCAGCACCCTGAGACGCGCACGCCACCGGGCGGCGGTCAGGGTCGGGCAGGCCGGCGACACGGCACCGCCCGCCGCACTGCCGACGTCACACACCAAACGTCCGCCCCGACCCCGCACCAGCCGCCGTCAGCCTCGCCGGCAGGACGGAGACTCGGCCTAGGCGAGCGGTCAGCTCAGTTGGGATGACGGTTTCGCGCGCAAACAGCGTCACTTAGCGTGCCCTAAGAATGCTATGATTGCACCCCAAGCGGTCTGCACGCCGCGGCGTGTGGCACGCGTCAATGGGACCGCCCAGCGCAGCGATCGACCGGGCCGGCCCGCCTTGGCACACGTACTTGAGCGAGAGGCAGAGCGCCGCGGCCGCCAGCTGCGAGACCTTGCAGTGCGCCAGGCCGTAGTCCTGCAGACTGAGCTCCATCAGGTACTTGGCCAGCGTGTGCTGCCGGTTGTCGACGAAGCCGGCCTTGCTGTTGCGGCGCAGGAAGTGCAGCGGCAGCGGCCGGCCCAAGTCGAAGCGCAGCGCCGTCAGGATCTGACGCTCCATCTGGCGCATCTGCTCCGTGTCGAACGACTTGTCGGCAATCACGACAAAGTCGTTGACCTCGGGCGCGTAGATCTCCTCGTACTTGCTGGCAATCCACATGGCGGTGACGCCCACCATCTGCAGCTGGCTAGGCGATATGGAAGTGTCCACCTGCGGCGACGGCCGGCCTGCTTAGCATGGGCAGCACGCACGTTCAGACAAGGCACAGTTGATGAATCCGGTTTTCGACCTAACGTAAAACAAGACGGACAAAGGAGCCCCTAGTGCCAGCACGCTACACATCGTGATATATGCCAGTTAAATGGTCTTTACAAAACTTAACAAAACCTGCAGAGCACAAGTCGCATCCGCTAATATGCGGTTGGACACGTACGTCGGGTTGCGTAACTTTTCTCATAGGAAGTCACAAAAACGCGTTAAAACAAAACCCAGTAAATATCAGGGTGGGTCCCAGGAATATGTCGCATCGGCAAAGACCAAAAACGTCCTCATTTCCTCTAGCGAAGAGCAGCGACGCCACCTGGGGGTGGCCACGGGTCTCTGGCCCTTCCTCCCCAAGATCAAGCGCAGTTGTTTACCACGATACTCTAATTGACCATGGTCTGGTAATCGGAAAATGTATGCTGGCTTTAAACCTCAAAGACCACCGTGGGCAGTGACATGCCGCGCATAACAGCGGCAGCCGAGAAGGTGTGTAAGGTACACAGCTGGGACAGTTGCCTTCGCCGCCAGACCACACAAACATTGAAAGCTCATCATAAATGCCAATGAAATACCATCGGCTTTTGTGGGGTTCGTAGTTTGTTTACCGTACGTACGTTCGTGAAGAGCAAGGACTCGCACTCCATACTCGCACACACATACTTTGCTTTTGATTACCGCACACGACTTTTTCTGCTCACGATTTGGCATTCAATATTTCGTCCGCTAACAGGAGCTGGCAAGAACCGCGCAATTCTTACCTGCAAAAATCTGTCGATGACGGCCACTGTCAGGTACAGGGTCTCATGAAGCAGCTTGAATTTGAGGTGGACCTGGACAAGCCAATCGACCAGGATCTCGCGCATCTTGCCGGTAATTTGACTGTTCCTCAGATGATTTTCGCTGATCCGGAACTTATCCTAGAACAAGCGTAATGAAAGCGGCATGACGACATTTCACCAGTTAACTGGCCTAGACAGAAGTGGAACTGAAGAACATGATAAAAGCGTCTGCCACATACGCGTCATCACCACACATACATACACTGTGCATACGCACGAGGCGCAAATTAGTCATCACCGCAGTCGCAAGCATCTGTAAACAATCCAGCGCGGCAGCCCTTCTCATGCTGGCAGCGGTGGACCAACTCCCGCACCGGGCCTTTTTCTCAAAGGACTGCTTCGATCGTTTTCAAACGAGATCTACTCACAGCACACCCTGGACTTGCAAGAATTCCACAGCAGCAAACGCTTTCTTATGGAGCCCAATGGAAGCCACACAGCAAATAACTCATTTCTCCATAGGCAGCACCACAAAGGGATTTCACGTGACCTAGTTGGAGGTCTGCACTGGGTCGGCCACGATCCATAGTTCCCGTCAGTACAATGTGGGCCAAGTCAGTCATCTCACTCCACAGGCATGCCGCCTTTGGATGGACGCTATATGACCCCGCAGTGGAAGCGCCCGAAATCGCATGCCACCGTAGAGCATGCTCATAAGAAACACCGACTAGGCATGTCACCAGTCAGTCTGGTAACGTTGTACCAGGCGCTCCATCACTGACGGTTATCCGCATCTAGGAAGGACAGCCATCAAATTGGATGCAGCTGTCGGACATTATTTGCCGTCCCCTGGTTAGCGAACCTCCTCAAAATCGGGCGCTCGCTCTAGCGGTCACATCCTCCGATTCAGCGGCGCCAAAACGGAACTCCGTGTGTCACTGGGGCCTTACGACGCACTCAACTGCTGAGGCTATATGGCCAAAACGGAACTTCAACGATTACACATCTCCTACCTGAAAGCGATTTACCATCGATTTTGACGCCGTCGGAACGCGGTTGTGCGATGTCGTGATACGCACGCCGCTGCAAACACCCATTCCGGCGCACTGGGGGTCTGGTAAATGCTTGTACCCTTCCGTGCCCAGCCACCCTGGTGGCTTGGTTTACGACACATGTCCCCTGTTGTCAGGCTCAGTCCGCGGTGACCAGGGGACACCTTGAGGAGAAAACGTCGGCGGTGACAAGGGAAGAAACCGGACGGCAAGCAGCCGGGAGCAAATCTCAAACACATGGCACGCAGCGAGCGGAGCGTGATGCCCAGAGTTGTGGCTATTCCTAGCTCTTGAAAGCTTGCGCGCGCAGGTAACCATACGTGGCCACGTCTGCCGCCCAAAGGCAAAACCCCATATGTTTATTTGTACCCATTTTGCATATTGGTGTCATTTGACTGATGTTCTCAAGCTGAATTTGATTCATTAGGCCCTAAGTTGATTTTTCACAAGCTTTTAGTTAAAGAAATAACTAAAAGTTTGTAAAAAAAAATCAACTTATGGCTTAAATAACTAAATTCAGCTTAAGAAAAATCAAGTGAGTTCAAAACATTCAAAATGGCGAAAAATACACATGAGGACTTGCCTTTGCGCGGCAAAAGTGCAACGAGCAACGAAGACGCTCCTTAGTTTCCCAGCGACAAAGGCGGGGCTTTGAATATTGAAAATGTCGGGGGGGGGGGGGGTCGGACCTCTTGCGCCCCGCAAGGCCCCGACTTCGCACGTAGTCGAGTACGACACGCCACATCATCCCATTACCTCTAGAAATCGCAGATACAGATAGATGTCTTTAATATAATCGGAGACCAGCTGAGGATTGTCTGCATCTTCAGCATCGATGTCATCCACTTCCAGCAGCTTGCTGGAGTAGGCATTCAGCTTCTCAATCTCCTCCGATGCCGAGAATGGCTTGCTGGGCTCAGGTTGAGGTGCAGCATCAGGTGCTTGCCTGTGGACATGCATGACATGTGATCTAGCTAACATAATATTTATTGGGTTGTAATAACGTCTTCAGTGGCTGATGTCATCTGTCAGTACATCCCTTCTCCAACTTAAATTGCCAACCCGAATGATGACACTCCGCCTGGAGCCAGGCTTTAACTCAACAACTGTCCACACATATTCATGTGGATACATCGGGTATCACGAAGCAACAGTGTACGGGTGCAGCATAGCAGATCTAGTGTATGCTATGCAGTACATACCTGATGGAGCTGGTGGCCTTTGATCGGACCAAAGGTTTCCTGCTTTGAGCGGCAATGGATCCTTTCTTCAGGCCATTATTCACAGACAGTCCCTTGACCCTATTACCAATTTCACCGAGGACAGCTCTTTGTTGGCCGTGCGTACTTCTGGTAGCAATGCCCTTTCTAGGCATTATCTGATTCTCACTATTCATGATCTGGAATAAAAACATTAAGAACGGCTCAACCACCTGAAAATGCAAAGCCCCACCTCCAGTAAAAGACAGGCACTTTTACAGCATAACTTGGATAAAAACAGCATTGGCCAAAATTAGTCATGAAATCGTTATTCAACCACATTGACCCCAAGGAAATACAAATTACGAGTATGCTAATATTCAGAGACTGATTGTCTGAATAAAACTGACAGTTCTTGCAACACACGTCAATGACAAAATTAGGACCCTGAAATGATGTCTCACGACGGGATTGAGCGAGGTTTACTGAATAGCAATGGAAGGAATTCGGTGTTGCTACTCCCTGTCCAGCGGATTGAAATCAATATACAAAGAAGCAACAATGAAAACAGAAAAATACTGCGGAGACGCTCACATTTAGGTTCGTACTTACGTTGTTTCCCACCGGGTTTGATCGCAGTGCGTGAGACATTTCGGGTGCTCGAGTAAAATCGTCTTTCAATGTCGTTCTCTCAAAATATTCACTTCTCCACAGCCTAAAAACGTCGTCGTCTCGTCGGAAGCGAGTGGTCTCAACGTAATCCCACTCTTCTCGCCCAAAAATAAAATATCACGAGGACATCGCACGGGCGGCAAGACAGCGATTGTTGGAGTTTAAAATTTAAATCCCCCGGTGCTGATGGTCTCCGATTGGTCAGGCCTGCTGCTGACCAGGCCTCAATAATTATATTTAGACATAGCCTCCACAAAAAATTATGATTTAGTCATTTAAATTGAGTACAAAACTTATCAAAATCGTAGAAATGAACTTTTCTCTCATATATAAGTTGTGAGTATCATTATATATCAAGCAATATGGCGCTCATGTAGTTCATTTCTGGCGCAAATAATACTTTGGCGCAGTGACCTCTCTTACAGCCAGAGCAATGTAACAACTAGGGCACAACCAGCTCAAGCACGTTGTTTTATTGCGTGAGCGGTGGGGAGGCGTGGATTGTATTCAGTGTTTGACGTGTAAGACGCAAAGTCATCTTCAGGCATACAGTTGCAACGAAGAAGTCCAGACAGTGCTACTGGTGGGGATACTGAATTGCTGATTGGGGTGCCTGTTGCACGTCTTTCGGTGTATTGGTCAAGGTAGGAGTCGTGCACGCTGGTGATTGGGGTGCAAACATCCAGTGACCTATGCCTGATTTCATAAGAGTTTGATGCCTGTTTATTAAGCAGTGCATCTGTCAAAGGAAGTGTATGCCCTTACAGATCATTTATTAAGGACTTGAAACAACATGTGTTCTGAGAATGAGTACAGTAGAACTCTGTTGAGCAACTTGGCATTATAATTTCCTGCCTCCAGTCTTAAAAATTTTCCCTTATTCTAGCCACAAGGTTAGTTCTAAAAGTGCATTCTTGAAGTGCAATATTTTAAATAGCATTTCAAATAAAACCGAAGTGTCTGCCACTGCCAAAACATTGGTAAGCATCCATCCTGACAGGATGAGAGGCAACCAGTTATATATAATGTAAACAGCTGAGTGCATTGCAAAGCTGCAATAGCATGTGCACGTATTAAGCATATCTAGCACTTTCATGACTGCCTGACTACAAAATTACATGCTGTGCAGAATGTACCCTGTGCAGCAACATCACAGTGGCAATTTTGTAGCATGTGCTCCATAAATTTGAGAGTTCAGTGTTCAGCTCTCAGTCATTACCATTTTGAGCAAGCAAAGAAGCAATGCTTTAATAAATTTTCATGTTGCAGAAGTTTTCACAAGCAATCATGCCCCATAAAAATGGTGCACATTTTGGTACAACCTGATCCTGCTGTGCAATGGCATGGGGGTTCAGCACACCAATGAAATGTAAATCTTGGGTGCAGTAGATTGCAGGCTGGCTCTCATGGTATTTTTTTTTGCAAGTAAATATTAGGGTTAATTTCTTAAAGGCAAGATGCATTTGGAATCTTAAGTACATGTTTTATATTCCATACTATCCCTGCTGACTATCAGTGCACAGTTTGCCAAATTGGCTTGAGAACCAGGTGTCACTTGATATGGCTCATAAGAGTATGATATCTTGTTTGGTGTGGCTGTCTTTTATGCTTACCCTTAGTGTGAATTCATCTGAAAAGGAGTTGATACACTGCCATTGAAGCAGTTTTACATTGGTCTTCAGTACAGTAAATGATACAGTTATTATATTCAATACTTTATCCAGCATGGCTCTTTGTGTGATTGTAGAGCATATAACATAATGAACAGGATGCCATTACAATACTAGATCACCAAGATAAGCCGTGAGTGCCTAATGCTAGATGATAAGTGGGATTCCGCATGTTCATTGGTTCTTCCGTGCCATTATCCGAACCTTAACTTTTGACTTAACATCAGCTACAACATATTTCTTAAAAGTTTGTTTGCCAAGTTGTATCCCTTTTGTTTTCCCACAATGTGGGCATCTATTGTGCAAAAACAAGTTGGAAGCATTTGTGGGCTTGTATGTATCATGTTTTGATGTACTATCACCCTACACTTTTGTGTAGGGTGATGGCACATGGTACTACACAAACTTTTGTGTCATATCACACTGCGCTCCTCAAACAGTGGACTCTTCACTTTGTGGAGGCCCAGCAGATGGCAGGTTACAGGCATGATTGAAGATGCCAGATAATGCTGAGCTCTTCTGCTCTATTCCTTATTTGCATCATTCATGATAAACAGTGGATTAATGTGTTGACATCAGTGATCTGGCTGATATCATAATCAAACTGGTTTATTTATCAAAGTAATGTGCCATTTGAAGACAAGTTGGGAATATCCCAGTTAATCACTAACAGAGAGCTGATACTTTGATCCGCCACCTTGCACAACTGCTGTGATGTCCGTAACGACGCTGTGTATATTCCAGGTTGGCACCATCCATTGACAGCTGTGCTTCCTTGCTCCAGGCTAGCGCGTCGCGGCCGGGGAGATGACGACAGCGGCGCGACCGACGTTCGAGCCCGCGCGCGGCGGCTCGTCGCGCGGCGAGAAGGACCTCTCGGCCATCAGCAAGCAGTACTCGTCGCGCGACCTTCCGGCGCACACCAAGCTCAAGCAGCGCGAGGCGGGCCAGGGCACCACCGACGAGCTACGCGGCCGCGACTTCCGGCGCGAGCTGGAGGAGCGCGAGCGCCAGGCGCGTGACAAGCGCGGCGACGCGGCGGGCGGCTCGAGCCGCAGGCGCGCCGAGCCGCTGGCGCCGGCCGCGCTCGACGTGGACGACGTGCTGGACGAGGACGAGTCGGACGAGGAGAGCGATGACGACGAGGCCGAGCTCATGGCCGAACTGCAGCGCATTCGCAAGGAGCGCGCCGCCGAGGCGGTGAAGCGGGACGCCGAGCGTAAGCAGGAGGAGGAGCGCATCCGCATGGAGAACATTTTGAGTGGGAACCCGCTGCTCAGCTACAGCGGCGCGGCGGCCAAGGGTGACGCGCGCGTCAAGCGCCGCTGGGATGACGACGTCGTGTTCAAGAACTGCGCTCGCGCCGAGCCCGAGCGCAAACAGCCGCGCTTCATCAACGACGCCCTCAGAAATGACTTCCACAAAAAGTTTATGGACAAGTATGTCAAGTGATGTGTGAGGGTCGGCTTGTGGCTGCAGTGTGCGACACGTTTGCGCTCTTCGTGATGGGGTTGGAGATGGACGTCGGGTTGCGGTTTTCTGCGGACGTTCGTGAAACGATAACGAGCCGTGTCTTGTCCAATAGAAAGCCTCTGGAATGTCATGCCGCGCTATGGGCAGTGGGTCATTTATGTCGTACTTGATTTCGGTCCAATAGAAAGCCTCTGGAATTTCATGCCGCGCTATGGGCAGTGGTTCATTTATGTCGTGCTTGATTTTCGACTGATGGTGTCATGGTGTTGCTAGCAACACCTATGATAATGGACCGGCTATGTGGTGTAGAGTATTCTACATATATTTGTGGGGGGGGGGGGGGGGGAGCCGATGTGTGGCTTGTAAAGTTTGTTGGAAAACGCTGTGAAATTTTTCGCCGTGTGTAGATAGTATCATTTTCATTGACCAGTCTTTCTGTTTATCCTTGTTTCTGCGTTTCAACAAACTTTAGTAAAAGGACGAAGCATGAACAGAATCGATAGGTCAAACACCCTGAAGTCTGCATTTTGACGGCCATTTTATGTATCGGCTGTCATTGAACGATAGCAAAGGGTTGTAATGTATAGAGGTGCAAAATGGTGTGAAACGTGTCGGTATTTCTTGCCGCGCTTGCCTCGCGCATGTTTCCGTTGCTTCTCGCATGTAAACGCCTTTTCATTTCGCGCAATATACTCTGGAACGCCGGTTTTGTGTGTAATTAGCGAACCGGACGGCTGGCCGAATATGAAACATGTAAGGCGCCTTAGACACGACGCACGTATTTCGACGGTCGATGCATGGTCTCAATAGGACACGCAGTCAATTGTATGGCTGTTCATCTGAGTTACGTCAGAAGTTTTTTCCTATGCATCTTCAATATAGTCCTTTTTGGCCCTCTCCGCTGGTGCTTGTCGCTGTGCGAGCGGTCCGCTATAGTGCAGTCGTCTCTCGCGGTGAATTTGACTTCCTTTTCGTTTTGTTCGATTGTTATCGCTAGTTTGACCACTCATTTTGACTGTTGTACGCCGGTAAGGTTACCGTTAAATTGTATTACGTTTGCGGGTGTAGAGTTGCACGTGTGAATGATTTCGGTTCGTGGTCCTGACAACCTATTTGTGGCATTGACAATGGAGAGGTTCCGTGGTATATGATCTCACGAGATTCTATTACTATCTGTTTACGAAAGTCGTCTTGAACTTAAGCTATTCTCTACCATTTTGCATGTATGAAAACCGTTGTGTTTTGTGCCTAGTGTTCGTAATGTGCCATTAAACGTCTAACCACTTGTTCACAACCATTTCCACATCGTCCATTACTGTTCTATGTTCGTGATTTTAAGTTCATTGGAAATCCAGAATAGGTAATTCAGCGAGCCGAAGACCAAATGTGAGGAGATTAAGCCTAATCCACATCTGCCGGTTGAGCGATTACCGAACGAAACGAGGTTTTAGCTTCTGATTGCACGAAGGCTGCTAAGTTACACTATTTTGTCAGAAACTGCATCGTGCAGGTGGCTGTGTAAGAACTAACGTGTGAGTGATGTTTGCCACAAAGTCGCTGCAGCTGACTCGCCCTGGTCCGAAGAAACCGAAGCCGAAGAGAAAAAAGGTTAGCTCTTAAAACTGCATCTGCCTGTGCATAGCATGTAAATGGTAAAATACATCGCGAAACCGCATTGAACGGACACGTTTTGCCTGCGTCTGCGTCCGCATCGTTATTTGCACGGGTACGCATGCATCCGTGATAGATCCCATGATCGAACCGCCCGCTCCGGCCAGTCCTTCCAACAGCCAGTCCACTATCGCGGTGCGCTGACCTGCCGCCGCTTGTATGTTGTGCCGCAGCCGGCACACAGTGGCGCCGCCCTATCGGCGCGGTCCGGCTCCACCGGCTCGCTGCCGGCCTACCCGACCCCGCGGCCGGCGGCCGGCCGCCAGCGCTCGCTGACCACCGACCAGCCGCGTCTGCGCCGGGCTGAGCTCGACTCGCGCGTGCGGGAGACGACGCCGCGGCCCCGACCCGGCCGCCGCGCTGCGCCGCCGCCCCGAGCAGCCCCCAGGGACCAGCTGGGAGAGCGTCTGGTGCGTACCTGACCGGCTCCACGCGTGGAGGGTGCCTGCCACGCTCCGTATAAGCCTGCGCGATGTGCGTGAGTAGGTGTTTAAGTGCTTGTGGAACAAGAGGAAAATGCCGACTTTTGTGGGACTGATGTTCGACCGGCTGCGATGCTTGATCGGCTGCGATGTTTGGTCGGCTGTGATGTTTGGTCGGCTGTGATGTTTGACCGGTCGGCTGTGATGTTTGACCGGCTGTGATGTTTGGTCGGCTGTGATGTTTGGCCGGCTGTGATGTTTGGTCGGCTGTGATGTTTGACCTGCTGTGATGTTTGATTGGCTGTGATGTTTGGTCGGCTGTGATGTTTGACCTGCTGTGATGTTTAACCTGCTGTGATGTTTGACCGGCTGTGATGTGTGATCGGCTGTGATGCTTGGTCGGTTGTGATGTTTGGTCGGCTGTGATGTTTGACCTGCTGTGATGTTTGATTGGCTGTGATGTTTGATTGGCTGTGATGCTTGATGAGAGGTGAAAGCTGGCACTGCTTGACTCCATGAATTGTGTCTTTATTAGTTTTTGGAGAGTTTTGTCGCATCCCTTTATGTACGCATGAACTGATGCTGGTCTGATTTCAGCCCTCACTCCGAGCACGCATAGCCGAGATGAGAGCTCTAGCATCACTGTTCCCTGACTCCGAACTGTCAGTCAGCGACGCGACTGGGTCTGATACGCGAACCAACATTGCGTCCATACTCAAACACCGCGACTACGAGCCCGTCAAGCCCGTCAAGCTACGCCGAAAACCGATGAAGGCAAGGACCTTTACCGCCTCCTTCATCCCCTATCAAGTCCAAAGGCTGTGTAAAGTCCGTCGCTCATTACACAGTCTTGCCTGTACCGGAAAGTAACCAAACTATCTGTGCAAATCGTTAAGAAACTATCAATGTTTCATTTTACTGACAGCTAAGTGTTTTGCTGAGCTACGATACTAGAGTGCATGCTACTGCACTGCGACTCCTACGTCCTGGTCAAAACCTCCAGTGCTCCAAAACCCGCGCATCCTGACACCCCCACATTCCAACCTAAACACGTGCCTTTGACGCGCTCCACAAGTCATGCGACTCTCTCCGCCGCACTTGGCACGAGCGTCACGTGTGCCGCGTCTTCAGGCTTACGCGCCCTCTCAGAAGTCGCACCGGAGCAGCCACACGCAGGGCACCAGCTCGGTACGCAGCCGGCGCACGGGCGGCCGACACGACGCGTCGCGCTCCCCGCGCGAGACGACCTCTCACGGACGCGCCGAGAGCTCCGAGCCGCCCTCGCCGCCGCCGGAGCGCGCGTCGAGCGGCGCCGGCGGCGCGCGCCGTTCTGTTTCCGATGGCAGCGGCAGCGAGCCGCGCGCCGCCGAGCCGCAGCCGCCGCCGGTCGCGCATGCCGCGCAGGAGGCAGCCGCCAGGCCCCTGCTGGATCCGGCCAAGGTGACGGACGGCAGGGAGCAGGCTTGGTGCTGGGCTGTTATCGGCTCCGCCACCGGTTAGAAGGCGGGAAGGGATACGTTGATCCTTCCGATGTGTTTCTTTCTGCGCAGTGTCGTGGCATGCTTAATTTCGGAAAAATTGAAGGGACGCAGATTGTTGGTATCGGACGTGCGTCCCACCTGACCGGCGCACACCTCTGACGTCCCCTGTCGGGCAGCTGCTGGCACTACAGAAGATTGTTGGTATCGGACGTGCGTCCCACCAGACCGGCGCACACTGACGCCCCCTGTCGGGCAGCTGCTGGCACTACCGCAGATTCCCAACATCGCGGACGTCATGGCATCTTCAGGCGGCGGCAGTCCCAGGAACCTGCAGGATGTCATCAGCAACTTCATGTGGGCCAAGCAGCAGGCCAGTGCCGCCGCCAGCGTCATGTCCAACCTGCGTGGCGTCATCGAGGGCATGGGTAGTCAGGTGAGGCGCAGACCTGTGCTCTTGTACCCTCGGCTGACACCACATTGCAAACTGTCGCTGGTGGCCCTTTCGAACAGAAACCTGGTAGCGCGAGGTAAAACAAAAAAGGATATACACTGACGGGGAGTTTTACTTTGGAAGCCAGTTTACCTTTCCGGATGGGGGCATTTTTGAAACAGACGGGAATCATATAAAGTGCTTTTTCGATCAGACTGCGAAGTTCTTTCCTCGTGTTCACTACTCCACCATCCAGAGTGTCGTGTTTGTTGTATGCATGACAGGCGGTCTCACCTGGATGACATGCGTTTCAGCCGGAGCCGGGCAGCAAGCCGGCGGTCAAGTCGCTGGTGGAGCTGCTCCAGGCGGCGCCACCGTCGCAGGCAGCTCCGCCCGCCGTCTCCAGCGGTCGACTGGTGGGTGCCGCCGCCGCTCCGGGGGCGCCCAACGGCCCGGCCAGCGGCCCACTCAGCTGGCGCACGGTGTCCGGCAGCGTGGGCCCGGCCGTGGACACCTCCCGACACTCGCTGCACAGCGCGGCGCCGGCACCGGCCCCGGCCGCGGCGCTAGCGCCACGGCCGGCGCCGGAGCCGGCCGGCGTCGCCTCCCGCTGCGGCCGCTCGCTGGCGCCGGCGCCGCGGTCGGCCGAGCCGCCGAGCTCGGCCCGCTCGGGCGCCAGCGCCACCTCGTCTGCCGGCACCACTTACCTGCTGCCGGGCGACACCAAGTCACAGCTGGCCGCCAGCTCCAGACAGCTCGCTGGACACGCTGAGAATGAAGTGAGGACAACGGCGGCCGCCTGACATGCTTGGCACAACAGGATCCGACCTTTTTATATGCGATGGCAAAAAATGACGACGATGTCGAGCTATCTCCAAGGGTTTCGTGTTATAAACGTTTGCGGAAGCTGTTTGTATTTTTCGCGCTTGTGAGTGTTAGGACAACGTACTCTGAAGTGTATTTCTCTCAAACAAAGCTGGGTCGTCTTAATCACGGCATGAGACACATCGCCCAGATCTTTTTACACCTGGTCCGGTGGTAGCGTATTACTTTTGCTCTCAAATACGCCGCATGGGGCTCTCACCGACTCGCCCATGCGGTATGTTTGCTTTCAGTGACGTCCTGTTCAGGGCATTTTGGCATGTACGTATTTCCGTTGTACGACAGTACATCAGTCCGCTCCATGGAAGTATGGTGAAAAGCTTTGCGCGGGCGTGTGAAAATAATTACAATGCTTTGAGCGCTAGAACCTTATGTGGCGCAGGCCATGGCCGTACTTGTGAAGGGGAAGCTCAGTCACTTTCACATAGGTATTTCCGTTCGCCTGTCACTGCGCTGCCGAGAAGGTTGCCTGTCTGACATGTCTGCCCCAGCGCTGATCAGGGCGCTGACATGCCCCCAGGGCTCGGAGGTGGGGTCTGCGCTGCGATCGGTCAGCGAGACGGCGCTGGCGGCTGACGCGGCCGCCGCCGAGCACGCGGACCACGACCAGCCCGACGACGTCGGCCATCTGCGCAAACAGTTCCAGCTGCAGCAGGCCAGGCTCCGTCAAATGGAGCAGAAGAATTACGTGCGTCGAGATCGCATCTGTCTTTCGGATGGGGGATGCAAGGCTCCCGAAAAGAGGATGGAGGCTGCGGGGCTCCTGAGGAGAGGATGGAGGTTGCGGTGCTCCCGAGGAGAGGATGGATGCTGTGGGGCTCCCGAGGAGAGGATGGAGACTGCGGGGCTCCCGAGGAGAGGATGGAGACTGCGGGGCTCCCGAGGAGAGGATGGAGACTGCGGGGCTCCCGAGGAGAGGATGGAGGTTGCGGTGCTCCCGGGGAGAGGATGGATGCTGTGGGGCTCCCGAGGAGAGGATGGAGGCTGTGGGGCTCCCGAGGAGAGGATGGATGCTGTGGGACTCCTGAGGAGAGGATGGAGACTGCGGGGCTCCCGAGGAGAGGATGGATGCTGTGGGACTCCTGAGGAGAGGATGGAGACTGCGGGGCTCCCGAGGAGAGGATGGAGACTGCGGGGCTCCCGAGGAGAGGATGGAGACTGTGGGGCTCCCGAGGAGAGGATAGAGACTGCGGGGCTCCCGAGGAGAGGATGGATGCTGTGGGACTCCTGAGGAGAGGATGGAGACTGCGGGGCTCCCGAGGAGAGGATGGATGCTGTGGGGCTCCCGAGGAGAGGATGGAGACTGCGGGGCTCCCGAGGAGAGGATGGAGACTGCGGGGCTCCCGAGGAGAGGATGGAGGCTGTGGGGCTCCCGAGGAGAGGATGGATGCTGTGGGACTCCTGAGGAGAGGATGGAGGCTCGTCTGCTAGGCCACTGTGTAGCACTCACTCAAGCTGTGGTTGTATTGCGAAGAAGTCAAGCTGGACTTGTTTTGTGTACGTTACATATCAATTGAGGGACCTTTTTTGACCTTGTTTACCCCCAGTCTCGTACTTCACTAATGACACGTGCAAGCGTTAAGCGTTACACGTTAAGCAACGGCGCACAGCCTCCTCCCAGGTCCCGTGTTTTGTGGTCGTAGGAGAGAAAGAGACGAAACGGGCCACGAGTGACGGCTCATGCCCGATCGCAGGTGCTGAGTCTGGCCGTAGAGGGCCAGGAGAAGACGATCCGCACCATGAGTAACGAGCTTCAGGACGCCAAAGAGGCGTTCTCGCACGAGGTGACGCAGCGGCTGAAGAGGGATGAGCGCGAGGCGCCCCCGCTGGCCGCGCTGGGGCCGGCCCAGCTCGAGCTGGGCGGCCCGGACCAGCAGGGCGTCGCCAGTCAGGAGGCAGTCATCGCCACGCTGTCCACGCAGTCGTGGGTGAGCGACGGCCATTATATGTTTCGCCGGTTGTCCATTATGCTCAAGACCAGCGGAAAGTGATGCGTGGTTATAGCTCTCCGTGGTTGTTGTGTGGCTCCAGTAACACTCGGTATCCTGGTTATTTTTATTATTATTTTGAGCTGCGCGTTCTCGAATGCGATACGTAATTCGATTCCTTTACGTCCACTATGTTGCCTGTATTATACCGCAATCCGTAGCTGTTGATCGAGTGCTTCGCACACTGTGTGGATCAATAATCTGAATGGTCATGTTCATTACCAGATGGTGTGTGAAGTTACCTCATCAGCCCGACAAATAACGATGGTATGTATTTATTTCTACAGCCAATGGCATCCACCAAAACAGAGATTCTTCAAGAAGATAACCACGAAAACAGAAGGGAGGTAGACCGGCTGAATGCTATTCTGGAAAGCAAGGTAATATAATTGCCCGTGACCAATGGCTAAGATGATACGTTTTGTGCAAAAGGAAGGCAACTTATCAGTTTGAAATTTCAGATTTTACACAAGTTTGTTCACAATAATGTGTGTAGGCAGCAAGCAAAATAAAAACAACTGATGTTTATGACAACTGTGTATCGTACGGGTTTGGTTCATTATATCTTTTCAGGAGCGTGAGCTCAATATATTAAAGGCAAGCAGACAAGATGGAAGTATGAAGTCTTACTCCACTGGGAAAGCTAGGCCTATGACATCTTTAATGAAGTCCCATCTTCCAAACCAGGTGAAACAAACTGATCTAAAATATAGTGGACACTTGTGGCGTTTCCTTGCTTATTGTACTTTGATATGTCGCTCTTTGGTGCCGTGCATGGCATGATTGACGCCATTAGCTGGCACGCAGATGTGGGGTGTATGCCACCAGTCGTGGCCGTGTCCACGCAGGGAATATTAACCAGCACCCGCAGAGGATTTCTGTGGGAGCCGACAGAACAGCTGTGTGATCTGCTGCTCCGTTCCATCAGGCCGGCTTCTCGTCCGGCTGGAAAGGCCAGCTGGACGGCACCAGGACACGATCCAGCGAGCTGCACCGGCCCGCTGTCGGAGATGGTCTCCACCAGGAGCCGGCACCGCTGCGGCGGCATAGCTTCACCGTACCCCCGCCGGTCAGAGCCGTCGTCAATCGACCTTTGTCCCTTAGCCTGTTGCGGCTGAGCTTCGTTGCAATAAAGGCTGCCTATGGAGCATGGCTCCCCATTTCGTTCATGCGTGTGTTTGGTTGTGAGCGTGCTTGCTTGTGCGTGTGACTGCATGTGCATATTGCCCTTGTGCGGAACGCATCAGGCATCCATCGGTGTCGCCTGCCATGTCCGGCTGTGTCTGTGGACCCGCACGCGCTTCCTGTGTCTGTCTGCGCCGGCTCTCACGGCTCGCCGGCACGACCGCAGCGCTCAGAGGACGCGTGGCGCGGTCACGTGGGAGCCGCCCACGTCAACCCGCTGCACAGCCGGGCGCCGCTGTTCGCTGTGCGGGAGCCGTCGGTGGTGGCCGCCGGCCCCAGAAATGCTGGTGGGTGCGGAGTCAACTGGATAGAGATCTTCGTGACCTAACGATTGGTGGCGTTTGGAAATGCGGTGCTCAGCTGATTACTGCCTGCTTGTTTTTAAAACAAATTATCCACATTTTCTCTGCAAGTAGACGAACATGAAACCCGACCAGTTTCGCTTGCACGCTTATCCGTCGTATATAGTGGTCTAGTTCCTTTTTGTGCAGATGGTAGTTAAGGCATTTAAATGCATCATGTAGCATGCGGTATCGGTATACTTGGCAAAATATCTCAATCAATAACGATAAATACTTGCTGAAATTTTCAAGCTTGTTGTCAACAACATCTGCATTGTACTGTGGCGCAGTGTACGAGGGGCGGTGTCAGGAGCTGAAGGAGACGGTGGAGGAGAGTTTGGCGCGCGTGAGGGAGCTGGAGGCGCAGCTGTTTGAGCTCAAATGCAGCCGCGACCGGGGAGACAACATCGAGGTCAGTGCTCTCGGATCAGTGCGCTCCAGTTCCAATTTCTCGATTAGCATACTCCAATGAAGGCATTGGTGCACTAAAACGGCCTGCAATTCAGTTCCTCTGGACCAGCAGACCAGCGTCCGTCGTCGCTCGTGAGCGGAAGACCCGAGGAACGACGTCACGCTGTCTGTCTTCTCTCCAGACGCCGCTGCTGGGTAACATTGGTCTGCCGGGCCTGGCAGAGCTGGGGCCGCCTACGACCGGCCCCAGCGGCCTCTGCAAGCCATTTCCCCAGATCCTCCGCATGACTGAGACGAAACTGCAGCAGGCGTATCAGAGTCTGCTCACGGAACAGCACAAGAACAAGCTGCTCAACAAGAACCTGCACGAAGCCGCCACTCGAGTAAGTTCGAGTGGAGCACTATGTGATTTAATTGCGAGTGCAATGTTTGCATATGCAGATTGGTACTTGTCAATGTGTTCAACCAGCAGCCGTTATTTCACTGGCCCAACCCCGTCAAACGGTGTCATAGGTTGCGAGGTCAATGACACCGGCACTAGCTACTCAGAGCTTGATTTCAAGCACGGAACGGTGGTTGGGGTTCGACAACATTCCCTGCCTTCTCCCCTCCCTTCCTCCTTTTAGCAAGCCGCCCCCACCACTCCCGACTGACGTTTCAGCTGGACCAGCACGGCTCACAGATGCAGAAGCTGAAGGAGAAGCTGACCGTCTCGCTGGAAGAGCGGCGCCAACTGCAGACGCGCCTGGCCGACGCTGAGGCCGCCAACGCCGAGGCCCAGCGCAAGCTGCAGGAGCTCAGGTACGCGCCGCGTCCTCGTGGTGTCAGTGTGCCCGCGAGGGCGAAATGAGGTAGTTCGCGTCGGCAACGAAATGCTAAGGAAGTCTTGAGAGAGACTGTCGTTTGCAGATTAGAATGTGATGCGGAGCAGTGTCCGATAACAATGCCAAACGGGGTCGAGAGGTTGCCTGTTTTGTCCCGAGCTCAATTCGGCTGTCTTAATGTCCAGTACAATAAATGTGGTGAAATCATCACGCCTGAGCGGCATACTCTATGTTGGGTAGACGTACCGTCGCCGTCAGGCGTCACGTTGGGTAGACGCGCCGCCGCCGCCGGGCGTCACGTTGGGTAGATGTGCCACCGCCGTCGGGCGTCACGTTGGGTAGATGTGCCACCGCCGTCGGGCGTCACGTTGGGTACATGTGCCGCCGCCGCCGTCAGGCGTCACGTTGGGTAGATGTGCCGCGGCCGCCGCGCGTCATGTTGGGTGGATGTACCGCTGCCGTCGGGTGTCACGTTGGGTACATGTGCCGCCGCCGTCGGGCGTCACGTTGGGTAGATGTACCGCTGCCGCCGGGCGTCACGTCGGGTAGATGTGCCACCGCCGTCGGGCGTCACGTTGGGTAGATGTGCCGCCGCCGTCGGGCGTCACGTTGGGTAGATGTACCGCTGCCGCCGAGCGTCATGTTGGGTAGATGTGCGGCCGCCGTCGGGCGTCACGTTGTCGCTATCTCCGCCCACAGGGAAGAGCTGCACCGCAAGACGGAGCTTTTAGTGCAAACCTCGCAGCATCTGGATGACCGGATTGAACAGGTACGCACGCTGTTGGAGCTTTCAGCAATCGTAACCACTTCGAGAAATGGAACAAGGAAAATGTTGAGGACCCGGTGCCAATGAGATCAAGCCATGATCTCTAGCCGGAAAACTAGCTGTCTTTTTGTGTCCAATCAAATTAATTATCCTTGCTGACCGTCCCTTGTAAGGCCCAGCCTTGCTGTGATTTTACTGCTGCAGCAGTTTTGTATTGTCTCAATTAAAGGCATCTCATGATCCTGTTCCTATCTATGCCACTGCGTGCCGTCCATTTATTTACGTCTGCCACAACGGCGATAGTTCAAAATCTGGAAACGGGACGGAGTAGATCTCGTGCTCGCCGTTGGTGATTGGTTGGCAGCCAGACCGGAGGAACAGGCGTTCTGGTCGCAGTGCGACAGGTGCCGGTCACCTGGCCACCAACATTGCGTTCGGCAACGACTGCAGCCCAAAATGGATGCTGTGCGCATGCTGAAGTACAAGACGAGACCTGCACGAGACCTGCGCCTTCCACTGCATCCCTGAAACGACGCAGTTGTGCCGGAAGCGCACGACACTGCAAGTGGCTACGAGCTGTGTAGAGCTGTCCAGAGACCGCAGCAGTGGCTACGGTGCTGTGGCAATGTGGCGACGGTTTGTGGTGCCTGTGGTACCTATGGTACCTGTGGTGCCTGTGGTGCCTGTGGTACCTGTGGTGCATGTGGTACCTGTGGTACCCGTGGTGTCTGTGGTACCTGTGGTACCTGTGTTGCCTGTAGTACCAGTGCCGGCGTCAGGGAGGCTGTGACGGGCCGCGTCGCTGCAGGTGGCTTCGCTGAGCCGCGAGCTGGACGCTACACGCTCGGAGGCGGCGCACGAGAGCCGGCTGGCCGCCGAACGGCTCTCAGAACTGCGCACGCACGCCGGCGAGCTGGAGGCGCGCGCCGCCAAACACGAGGCCGACAGCCGGCAGCTGCGCCAGGCCAGCGAGGAGGCCAGCCACCTGGCCCAGGTCAGCCGACCACGGCCTCGGCCGCCGTGGCTGGCGGGCCGCCGTCTGTGCATAACATTGCGCCTGCGTGCACGCTCCCGCTGATGCGGACGTGATGCTGCCTTTGTGGCATAAGGGCGTACACACGCGTGGTCCTTTTAGCAACGTGACAGGAAACTGTTCATACTTCCCATGGATCGACTTCTCTGATGTCTGAGGTTTAAGGTTTCGTGACTGATTCATGTGCAGCGCCTTCATGTTTTATCCACCAGAGCGAGCGGCGGTTGCGACAGCGCGTGCTGGAGCTGCAAGGCAAGCTGGACCAGAGCACCTCCACCGCCAAGATGCTGGAGAACTACGTGCTCTTCCTCAAGTCGTCCTACAGCAAGATGTTCGGCACGCCCACGCCGGTGCCGTCGCCGGGCTTCGACGTGCCGCCGTCTATCCGTGACCTGCTGGAGCAGACAGAGGGGCACTAGGCTCCACTGGGGGCGGGTGGTCCTCGCCGCGGGCCAGTGACGGTGGCGGCGACCCCCGCCTGCTGGACGGGGTCACTGTACCGGGAGATGTGGACAGTGATGGGACGCTACCTCTCCTCCATGGCCGGACACCACCTCTCCTGGTATGGACCGGTATCACCGCCCGCGGACCGTGCGTCGTGTACAGCGCTGGCTCTGTCAACCCCGCATCAGACTGTGGTTGTGGGATGGTTGTAGTCACTGCTAGGGCTGATTTCCTGAACGCGCCCCTCTGTTCGAATGTGCAGTGGCCTCCGTCCGGACGTGTCGGGCCCTCCGTCAGAACGTGTCGGGCTCTCCGTCAGAACGTGTCGGGCCCTCCGTCAGAACGTGTTGGGCCCCCCCGTTCGGACGTGTCGGGCCCTCCGCCAGAGCGTGTCGGGCCCTCCGTCAGAGCGTGTCAGGCGCTCCGTCAGAACGTGTCGGGGCCCCTGCCCGGACGTGTCGGGCACTCCGTCAGAACGTGTCGGGCCCTCCGTCAGAGCGTGTCGGGCGTTCCGTCAGAACGTGTCGGGCCCCCTGTCCGGACGTGTCGAGCCCTCCGTCAGAGCGTGTCGGGCGCTCCGTCAGAACGTGTCGGGCCCCCCGTCCGGACGTGTCGGGCCCTCCGTCCGGACCTGCCGCTGAGCTCGCAGACCAAGCACATGCACTCACCAGCGGGGGCAGTTTGGCATTCACGCGTGGTGCCCGCTGCCCGCCCGCCCACCGGCGGACGCGGATGGACGTACCGAGAACCCGCCCGGCCTCCGGGCCGACCCGTAGCCTAGTGGACCATCAGCTCGCAGGCTAGTTCGCTCGCGCTACGTCTTCGGCGGCCGGTGCAGCACAGTGCGGTGGTTTGTTGCCTTGGGGGTTGGTGTCCGCCTGACGTTTCGACGCGCGCAAAGCCGAGCGACGTGTTGTGGCGCGCCGAAGAGGGGAAGCCTGTCTCTCGCGCCTGCACAGCCTGTGCCGTTGTGTCTATCCGCCCTCCTGTTGTGCGCTGCGGCCCGCCTGAGGCGCTCGGGCAATACAATTGGTTTGTAAAGCCGTGTATTTCGCACAGCTTGTGGTAACGGAGTGTAAGCGTGTGGCGGCCGCCAGCGCAGGGGAGTCACCATGCAATCAGAGGAGGCAAAAGTGACGGGACAAACACATTCAGCGCAAGTGCCGCGCCTGCCTGGTCCACACACGACAGCGGCAAGAGCATGCAGCTGCCACCAATAGCAGGTGCGCCTGAGCAATGCACACAAAAAGGCAACGTATAAAATCGGCGTCCAGGAGGGGCAGAAACAGGGATGTGTCTCAGTGCCACCAAGCACCACCGGAGCTCGGGATCCGGGAAGAAAGCATGCATCAGCGCCGTAGCGACTGATGCACGACGGCGGGTTCGGTGCACGTATTAGCCAGAAGAACCGTGGAGTCGCAGGATGACGATGCAGATACAGCGGCGCACGACAAACAGCTGTTGACAAGTCGGCATGAATCCTTGTAAACATGACGATGAGGACGCACTGAAGCATTCCGTGGACTGAGCAGCCTCTTCCTGAGTTGAGGAACCTCGACAGTGAGACGCATAAATTGAGGATGAAGTGCAGAACAAAGTGACAGAAGAATGTGAGAAGACGGACGAGACGAAGGGAGGGAGTGGGGAACGGGTGACCGGGCCCAAAACACGGCACGAGTCGCACCCAGTCGCGCTGAACTGCAGGCTGCTAATGTGTCATACTAAATCACCGACAATGGCAGGCCGCGAAACAAAGCAAAACAAAATACGCAAGTCATGGTGCTGCTTTTCCCTATGCATTAAAGCTATCCGCTAATGCGATAGCCTAGGTAGCCTCCTGAGGCGCTAGGTCATGGCCGGGGCGGCCAAATCGGTCGCACACTGTCTGGCTAGGCTCCAATGTCAAAATCCCATCAAACTTGGTCAACGGAAGGCCAGGATTGACATTACAATGCGTAATCGATGACGTTCACCGCGGGTTTTAACCTAAAACGAAAATGTCTTGCGCGTGTCTGTGATCTTCTAGGCAAAATCTAGCGGTTTCGGCAGGGTGTCGCAATCTTACTTCACAAAAAACATGTCTAGCAGCTCCAACTAGTCACAGGACTATACGGACGTAAATTTTAACGAATCACAACATAGAAGCAGCCTGTTGACTAGAGCAGCCACAATGGCATACAAAACTCTGCGCTACCACAAACAAACATTCTGTTTCGCGCACAAATAATCCTCAAATGAAGCTCGCAGTGCAATATCACATCAATGAAAAGCCTCCCGAGTACTGAGATCTGACAACTGATACACCATAAACGCGCCTGAGGCTGTGGCCCGCTCGTCAGGCGGCACCGCTCGCCGCCGACTGCCGGAGCCGGCGGGACCGCTCGCCGCCGACTGCCGGAGCCGGCGGCACCGTTCGCCGCCGACTGCCGTAGCCGGCGGGACCGCTCGCCGCCGGCTGCACGCAGCCTGAGTCGGCGAGCCCCTGCGCAGCGCGCGCCTCCCGCTGCCGGGCCACCGAGCCGCCGAGTTCTCGGCTGCTGAGCTGGCTGCAGTGTCGGCGAGCCTCCCCGGCGGCAGGGGACAGCAACTGCCGACAGCGGAGCCGAGCCGGCGCCGCTTTAGCCGCCATGACGAGAGTCCGCACGGCGCGCCGGCTTCACGCACCCAGGGACAGCGGACGGCGAGGGCCGAGGCGACCCGTGCCGACGCCAGCACACACCGGTGCCAGGGCAGCGTCGGCGGCGGGTCGGCCGATGCCGCCAGCCGCCGTCGGCCGGCTCGGCGTCCTCAGCTGCCGGCTCGGCGCCCTCAGCTGCCGGCGCGGCGTCCTCGGCTGCCGGCGCGGCGTCTTCGGCTGCCGGCGCGGCGTCCTCGGCTGCCGGCTCGGCGTCCTCAGCTGCCGGCGCGGCGTCCTCAGCTGCCGGCTCGGCGTCCTCAGCTGCCGGCGCGGCGTCCTCGGCTGCCGGCGCGGCGTCCTCGGCTGCCGGCGCGGCGTCCTCGGCCGCCGGCTCGGCGTCCTCGGCTGCTGGCGCGGCGTCCTCGGCTACCGGCTCGGCTCAGGCCTGCAGCAGCAGCAAGTGCCGGCTGTCCAGCAGCGTGGCCAGCTCTAGTAGGATGGCGTGCAGGCTCGGGTGGTCCAGCAGGCCAGACTCGGGCAGCGCCGGCTGCGCGCGCGGCTGGAACTGGCACCCCTACCGGTCGGCCATGCGGCACACATGAGTGCTGTGCCAGGGCGAGCCTGGAGCCGATCGAACAGTGCCAACAGTCTGCACACGTGAACCTCCACGTGCGGACGCGCTCACAGCTATACGCAGAGTAAACTTGGGCGACGTCAGGAAATCGTAAACTTATAGTCCTACATGAGAGCTGCAATCAAATCTGAAGTAAACCCAGCCTTCTGGGATTTCTCACAATCGCGAACAGGCAGATGAACGCAAAACTATGTGAGAATCCAAATGTCTACCAGCGTTTATCACCATCAATCCGTGTTTGCGACTCTGCCGTATCGCATGTCATGAACTAATGGTCCCAGTGACGACTGGCGGCACCGCCAACCAGCATCAACCGCGCGACAAAGTGCCTATCGACGCGACTGCCCAAGACTGGCCGACGCTGGGTCCCAGCAAGGTGGGGCCTCACTTTGAACGCCCTGTGGTTGCGCAGCACGACGGCGCAGAACACGTATCGCAGCAGCAGCAGCCGCAGGAAGTCGTCCCCGAAGAACTGGATGTAGGCCGGGTCTGGCGACGACAGCATGAAGCGGTGAGCGGCCGCGAGGCGTCTCAATAGAGGTGCTCCCCGTTCACAGACAGTACGGTTGCTGGACACACAGGACAACGTTCATAGGACAGCAGTAATAGCCCTATTCCTCGGAGAAAAAAAAGAGAATGGAGACATAGATGCGTCGATACTTCGGCAACATACCTTCATCGAAACCAAGAGTAGAAAGTATTTCAAAATTGCCGGCTGATGATCGTACTTATTTTCAGGCTGTTTTTTTACACAACGAGCCACAGTTTTATGGGACATCAACATTTATGGACAGGGACAGGGACAACAAGGAGCAATTTACAACCATTGCTACGACACAATGCGAATCTAACTCCAAATTGAAATGCACGAAAATACGTGTACATGCAAACGAATTCAAGCCGCACGAACAAGCATTACACATCACGCTTCATTCAAATATGCAAGCGTGTTGGAGTAAACAGGCATCACACATCACGTATCAATCATACATGCAAGCGATTTCAATTAAACAGGCACCGCGCATCACCCGTCGGGCATCACTTACACATGTGAACAATTTCAAGCCAGCACACATCACACATCAAGTCATGGTAAGTAAAAGTTAGGGTTAGCTAATATATATATATATATATATATATATATATATATATATATATATAAGTTCTTAAGTAGGTGGTGATAAGTAATCAAACATATATGGTTATACGGACGCAATATGTGCCTTGATGTGTGCTACCTTAAAATCGTTTACATGTGTAAGTGATGCCTGACGCATGATACGCGGTGACTGTTTAATTGAAATCGTTTGCATGCGTAATTGATGTGTGATGTGTGACACCTCTTTACTTCAACTCGCCTGTATATCTGAATGAAGCATGATATGTGACGCCTGTTTAATTTTGACAGCGATGCGCAGGACATAACATGGGTCCCCACACATGTCTTAAGACCTCCTAAACGACGTGCATAAGCCTATGCTGTACTTTGTCCTTGTTTAGCACCACCGCGGTGCTGGGGACTGGCCTTTGCCACTTACCGACTCCACGGGCCGAGGTCATGACCTTGGCGGCTTCGGTCAGGAAGTGGTCCACGTACGTCTGACACTTGTCCCAGACGTGCACACTGAGGTTGGCCAGGTTGAACACGAAGCAGAGCGCCATGAGCGGGGAGTGCAGGAACAGCGTGAACAGACTGCCCTTCGACTGCTCCTCTGCAGGACACAGAGGAATGGTGTGAAGATGCCACCCACGGACTACCCTTTGTGGGGACAGGATTTCATGCGTGGGACGGGGATAGCGTACAGGTGGCCCCATATCCTTTCACTGTGCAATAGATGAACAGAGTAAACATATTGTCGCTGCACTGTTCTTTGAGGCGCAGGAGCGATGTGACGACTAAACTAGGCTGGACCCCAGTCCTCTTTGCACGGCGACAGGACCAGGCTGCCAACCACCAGGCACCCTCATGTACCAGGGGGCCAGCCACCGGACAACCTCATGGATCAGGGGGCCAGCCACCAGACAACCTGATGGGCCAGGGGGCCAGGTACCGGACAACCTAATGGGCCAGGGGGCCAGCCACCGGACAACCTCATGGACCAGGGGGCCAGACACCGGACAATATCGTGCGCCTGACATTACTACACACCGCTGCTAAAGATGGGCACGGCATGCATACGTTTGTACCAAATCCTTTCTCCAGTACCACAACACTACACATAACACAGCCGCTATCGAATCGCTCGGTGCCTCAGTCAGGCTTCAGAGCGCCGAGTACCCAGCGCCAAGACTCGGCGGAACACAACGTCGCTCGGTACCTCAGTCAGACTTCAGAGCGCAGAGTACCCAGCGCCAAGACTCGGCGGAACACAACGTCGCTCGGTACCTCAGTCAGGCTTCAGAGCGCAGAGTACCCAGCGCCAAGACTCGGCGGAACACAACGTCGCTCGGTACCTCAGTCAGGCTTCAGAGCGCAGAGTACCCAGCGCCAAGACTCGGCGGAACACAACGTCGCTCGGTACCTCAGTCAGGCTTCAGAGCGCAGAGTACCCAGCGCCAAGACTCGGCGGAACACAACGTCGCTCGGTACCTCAGTCAGGCTTCAGAGCGCAGAGTACCCAGCGCCAAGACTCGGCGGAACACAACGCGTTCGGCCGTAAGCTGGACCACATCAGCGACGTCCCCGACGCCCCGTCCACGCCACCACTACTACGACAACCACACCGCCAGCACCATCGGCAGCAGCCTCACCGAAGCGGGCACCGCGGCGGCCGCACGCACCCCTACTCACCCTGGAACGGTCCCGGCACGTACTGCGGCGACATGAGAATGACCAGCGTCTGGCCGAAGTAGTTGGGCACGTTCTGGAACACGACCGAGTTGTCCGAGTCGGCGATGACGAACAGTGGCTTCCTGGTGAACGGCTGCAGGTCGCCCGGGTAGAAGCAGTGCAGATCCTTGATCATCACCTGCCGGCGCGGCGAAAGGGTCAGACTCGGCCGCAAGGGGTCGGACTCGGCAAGGGGGTCAGACTCGGTGAGGGGGTCAGACTCGGCACAGGGCCAGACTCGTTGAGGGGTCAGACTCAGCAAGGGGCAGTCCGACACGGCGGGGGGGGAGGGGGGCAGGCTAGGCGAGAGGGGTAAGACTCAGCGAGGAGGCAGGCAGACACGGCGGGGGTCAGACTCGACGAGAGCGCAACCGAGCGCGATCGGAACATGCCACGGGGAGGTGACCATGCAAGAGAAGGGAGCCATGCGCCATCACACCACCAGCATTGAGCTAATGAACTAAAGTCCGTTCGAGATACAGACCCGTGACAACATATGGGCTATGTAGGTGGGGTCGCAGACGGAAACTCGAAAGTGACTGACAGCTAGTGCGGATGAGACCACACGGACCACAGTCCACACTGCCTGAATGTGCCTCCACTATCCAAAAAGGCAAATCCAAAAAGGCAAAAAGGCACGTTGTGGGCATCCGCACGCATACGGGTTTACCCATGGCCAGTTCCAACATGCAAATACTGGTGTGTTGTGTCGCAAGCATCTTCTGTCAAAACAGCACCGGAGGCAACGTTCTTATAGCGTTGCAAACCTTAGATATCGACCAGACGTCCCACCCACCGACCATTACAAACAACAAAATACGCCTCAAAGAAAATTCTACACACTGGTTTTCGGCCCACTTCCTCTTTCAAACGGGCGACAGCAGACTAGCCATGGACAAAGTGCGCGTTTGGCTACACTGCTGCCCAGCCGCCTGACCGCGCCAGCCGCCTGACTAGCCTGTCCCTCGGCCCACCACCGACTCCACGTGCGGGTACACTGCTGCCCAGCCGCCTGACCAACCTGTCCCTCGACCCACCACCGGTTCCACGTGCGGGTACACTGCTGCCCCAACGGCCTGACCAGCTTGTCCCCCCAGCCACCACAAGCTCCACGTGTGTTCCCTAATCCATCGCCAGACCCGAGACCGCGCGCCGGCGGCTGCGCTTGCTCACCTGCCACCGGCCCTGCGTGTCCAGCTCTTTCTTGCTGTTGGTCACGACGCCGCCGAAGTCGTAGCCGGGGTCGTCGCTGTGCTTGGGCGTCGAGAAGCAGCCGTCGGCCGACAGGTAAAGCAGCATGGCGCCGTTGGCCGGCAGCTCCTTGAAGCCTGCGGCCGCGGCGACCGGCCACGCTCAGAGCGAGTCCCAGCGCCCAGCGCCACCGGCGTCTAAATGGTGCGACTGATCGGTGCGACTTCTCCAACAAACGCGTGTATGGATGTCGCTGTGATCTCCCTCGTACAAACATCTTGCACGCGTGATATGGGGTACACGGGCGGTGCTATTTCCCGCAAACGGCGGCGGTTCAAGGAGGTCCTACCTTACAATGACTCCCACGGGAGGGCGCATGAATAGTTAGAACATTTCAGGTCCCCTCATGACATGCATGCATGCCCAATAGTACCTCCAAAGGCTCTTAAAGCACCCGGAAACGAGCACAGCCCATTGATTTGGGCACATATAACTGAACCACACGTCATCAACAACTGATGCAACAACACGTATAAAACCCGGCTCCCTACACGTGATGTCACCCACCCGACGCCAGGAAGGCCATCAGCTGACTGAAGGTGGGCTTGTACAGCAGGTACTTGTGCGGGTTCTCCCGCTTGCCCGTCGGCCGGCCGTTGGAGTCGCCGTTCTCCTGCGGATGACGCCCGCGGCGGGTCAGGACGCAGCCGCCAGAGGGCGCAGGCTCTGCGCCACAGGCGGAGATGCAGCGACCCATAACAGGTCACCACGCTGAGCTCCACACCTCCGCGGGTGAGCCGGCCGGCGGCGGCGAGGGCCGGACGGCCCAGGCGCCCCAGATCCAGCCCAGCCACATCTGGGCCACGCGACCTCCACCTACAAGCGTGCGGCCAACACGGGACAACAGCAGCGGCGTCCGCCGGCGCTCGGACCGGGCGGCGGCCGGCGCGCGCGCGCGACACTGACGTAAGGGCTGCGCTGGGCGCTGGGTGACGTGTCGCAGCCGGTGTGCAGGCCCTCCTCCTGCGGCTCCCGCTCCAGGGTCTGCAGCATCCGGAACATGTCGATCGTCAGCTCGCTGAACTTGGCCTGCGAACGGAGGGAGCAGCGCGCTAGGATCTGTCGCTCGCCGCCTTCTGCTCGCCCGGGTGAAGCGCGGCAATGGACAACCCGACCCGCAGGATCTGGCCCGACACTGCACCTCCCCATGGTGGGTCGAATGTAGTGAGCTATAACAATTTCATCGCTTGCTTTAACGTTATCCAGAAGCAATCTGTGATGCTAATCAAACCAAAGCTATTACTGAAATCTCCCATCATAATGGGTCATTTGATTTGTTAAAAAATAAACATTCTGCAATCATTTCGCATCCGACAGCGTCAAAAGGCCTAGCCATCGGTTGGTCGGCCTGAGCAGGTGGCCAGAACTAGCGGTCGGCCTGGGCAGGTAGCCAGGACTAGCGGTCGGCCTGAGCAGGTGGCCAGGACTAGCGGTCGGCCTGAGCAGGTGGCCAGGACTAGTGGTCGGCCTGAGCAGGTGGCCGGGACTAGCGGTCGGCCTGAGCAGGTGGCCGGGACTAGCAGTCGGCCTGAGCAGGTGGCCGGGACTAGCGGTCGGCCTGAGCAGGTGGCCAAGACTAGCGGTCGGCCTGGGCAGATGGCCAGGACTAGCGGTCGGCCTGAGCAGGTGGCCAAGACTAGCGGTCGGCCTGGGCAGATGGCCAGGACTAGCGGTCGGCCTGAGCAGGTGGCCGGGACTAGCGGTCGGCCTGAGCAGGTGGTCGGGACTAGCGGTCGGTCTGAGCAGGTGGCCGGGACTAGCGGTCGTTCCGACCGGCCGCTTCACCGCCTGAAGCCGGCGCGGCGCCCACCTGCTCGCTGCAGTTGCCCACCACCAGGATCTCCTGCAGTGAGAGACACATGGAGGGCGAGCGATCCACCGCCGGCGCCGTCAGCTGGTGCAGCCTGCCGGCACGGCGAGCGGCAGGTCAGGTCAGCGCCGTCAGCAGGTCAGCAGCGCCCTGGTCACACCCCCCCCCCCCTCCCCCCGCCGAGGTTGGGCTATACCGCCAACGGACACCGTCCGAGAATCACAAGCTTCACGCGCCATCCAGGCGCACGGCTCCAGCGCCCCGCATACCCACCCCTGCTTCGTCACTACCTGCGACGGCGCACCGATCAAGACTACAGCCACAGCCTGCAAATGAGCGATGTGAGGCACGCAAAACTAAGCCAGCTTTTAAACATCGCGACGATCGGCGGCCGAGGCACCGGCGGTCGCGGCGCCCTTGCCTGTGGGAGAGCACCATCTGGTTCGAGTCCATGTCCAGCACGTTGACCACGTTGTCGGCCTCGATGAAGGAGTGGATCTCGCTCAGCACCATCGACCACTCCAGCTGGTCCTCCGGCTTGTACGTGCTCGTGTACTCCTCCACGTGCTTGCCCAGCTCCTGAAGGCGGCCAGCGGTACTGATCACCCGGTCTGGCGCCTGGACGCTCACAGACTTTACCTTTACGGCTGGCAGCGCACGACTGTCACCTCCACGAGCCCGGTCTGGCGCCTGGACGCTCACAGACTTTACCTTTACAGCTGGGAGCGCACGACGCTCGCCTCCACGCGGGCCGCGAGGACGCTGCCCACCTCTCCCAAGACAATCATTCATCTGCGTTGGACGCGTCAGACGTATGGCACACTTCATTTGACACAGGCTGGCACCGTAGCTGGTTGATCAGTTGGATCACCAGGACATGCAAGTTTGCCATTGTCATGAAGAAGTGGGCCCAACATTTGATTGATTTAGAGACACCTACTGTGCCGTATTTCTACTGTAGGACTCAGCACCCATGAGGGCAGGACAAGGGCCGCCGCTGACCCGCGCACATCCGTTTCAGCCCGGACACACGCACGAAAGCCAGGCACGTACCCTGACCAGGTCCTTGACCAGCTTCATCTTCTTCAGCAGCAGGCAGACGACGATGAAGCGGGCATAGTAGCGGAGCTTCTTCACCATCATATCAGGCCGGCTGGGGGGCGGATGGGGGCCGTCAGATCGGGGCGCTCCAGCGGGCGTGGCCTCAGTCCCCAGCCACTACATCCAGCCCGTGGCGCAGCCGGACCCCCAGCATTGCAGGCTCATCAAGCCATCAGCGCGTGGAGTCACTTAGGGTCACCAGAATCGTCTGCAGACTCTAGTAGTGGCAGGCACCAAGCCCACGCACTAAGAAACCTAAATAATTATGCCGGTACTGGCAAGTAACGACGGCTCGGATCATCTTCAGTGGCCGATTAGGGCAGCGATAATGGCCAACATGATCTGTTCTCACCACAGCGATAGGACGGCGGATGACGGATGACGGATGACGGATGACGGCGGGGACAGTCAGGCACGGCGGCCAGCCCCGCCCAGACACCACTTATGCCAAGCGAGCTCCGCCGGCCGGCGGCGAGCACTCACTTGTCTTCCTTGTTCATCCGACTGTAGTAGGCCCGGCCGCGGATGGCCGAGTAGAACGAGTACGCCTCGTTCAGGTAGTTGGTCTCGCTGGTACGCAAGCTGCAACGAATCAGCGGGCTGGGTGGGACGGTCGGTGGCGCGGCGGCTCGGTGATCGCAAGGCCCCGGTTTGAATCTAGGGCAGCGCGGATGCTACATTTAATTTGCCTTTAGCGACCATCGACGCGAGAGCTGCGATGTTGGCCACCACTGCGACGCTACGGCGGCAGAAATTCGAGACGTGCCATTTACACTCAGCAAACTCAGACAGAGAACCACATGTAATACAGCCCTCGCAAGGCTCTGCCGTGTTTGAGATTCACCCCGCCTTAGCCACGACCCCGTCACCGCCTAACACCGGCGGCAGTCTCCGTCGGGCCGGCATACGCACTAGTAGTGGTAGTACAGCTGGCCGATCTTGGACGCTATCTCGCCGATCTGCCATCGCTTCAGGCCGTACTTGTGGTCCAGCACCAGTCTGCAACAGCCATCCGTCAGTACTGCCAACCCAGGAGACGAAACACCCCTACTGGTTACAGCTGGAGACCCCCAGTATCCAATATTGGTGGAGTGCCGGACAACTCTAGCCACATGCAGCACACTTCCGCACAGGGAATGGTCGTGGCACTGATAATAAACACCAGATTATCGTCCTCCCTACCGCACTAAGCAGGATTTACCTATATATACCTAACCGTCTTATTTGCAGTAATAAAGGCTCTCAGGAAATCGCGTGCTAATATGAACGCAATAATGAGAACATTCGGTTACCTCTTGCAATGCAGAGCACGCAGAAACAGGGACAGAGATAGTCCAAAAATATGATAATCCCTTCACAAATATGTGTGAAGGAAGAACACAAAATACTGAAGTACTTGGTTCCCACGCACACCCAATCCACCAGTGGTTGAGGACATATAAAGTTAATAGCACACTACAAGTAGCATTTGATATTCGAGGAGTCAAACAAATTGTGGTTCCAACAAAACAGGGAGAAAGTTGTACTTCCTTCCAGTTCCCGACACTATCGATTACTGCTATGGACAGCAAGTCACAGTTAGGTCACAGTCTCACCTGTGCTGCTGCTGAAACTTCCATAATTTGGTGTATACGTCGAACGTTTTACCGAAGTACGACTGCCACTGTCGGTGTCCGTACTGGGGCAGATCCCTGGGAAATGGACGTGGGATGAGACAGTGCTCATGGATCTGAATATTTTGCATGAATACTTGCATGCCAGGAATTGGTGGCAGAGTGGTCCAACAACTTGATGGAATGGCTCTCGTTAGGACACATGGAGTTCGCGGGTGGGTCACCACCGCTCAGAGACTGCTCGTACAGAGTATGAGCTCCATGACAACTGCCAACCACAGATGTCATCCACCCGCTGGTTGATTCGCGCTCATACCACAGACGACCAAAAAGAGGGCTTCATGTTCATCATGCCTCGATGTGATTCAACAAGATCATTCAGTGAGCTAAAGCAATGTAAGAACGAGCGTAATATCGGGACCACCACAATCAACCAGACGTCAAACATGACGTCTTTGCTTAAAACCTACCACCCTTACATAGTACACCGATCATGCATGATACTTGCTGCTTCTGGAAGCCATTGTCAAAGACACTTTTGGAAAATTAAGACACTGCTTGGGTACAACCAATATGATGATGGCATCAGGCCTAGTACACTATGCTGAACTGGCTAACAAAGCTAGCCTGGTACCAATCTTTAATTACGGCACCAGAGTGAGCATCACCTGCCCTCCCACTTCCCAATGAAATGGCCATCAACCACATTGTGTGAATGGAAATAAAAGACCAGCCAATCATTTTCCATGAAAAATGGAAGGATAGTAAAACTCGGTTTCTGAATAAAACATCACAAATATTCAGCAACAGTATTTCTCACCTGAGGCCATTGAACAGCTGCTTTGACTTCTCCAACTGATGGCAGAACTCATTGACAATTTTTGTTTCGTGCTCGTCCATGTCCGCGGCCATCATGCCGCCGACTGCTTATCTGAGAACAGGTCACGTCCATTTGTTAATATGAGAGAAGATCAAGCATGTGGTTAAATTGGTAGAGCATGAAAATTTCCTATTTGTTTGAATACAACCTATTTTACCACTGCAAGGATTAGCACAACAATCTATCACACTGACAGAACCAGAGGAAATGAAAATGCGCAATGTTTGCCAACCCCAAAACCACACTTGACAAGTTAAAGACAAGAATGCTACTACCAAGTCATGACATTCCAGTATACCCATACAATGCCACACACCCACTATGATTAAAGCACAATACTAGGTGGCTCCAAAGCACACCTCACATGCTACTATCCTACAACAGCAAAAAGCTTGTAATAGGCATAAATGAGTGGGTTTCCCTCTCTGTGGTCAAGTGGAAGACCCCATGGTTCTATTGAGTAAATGACACATGCCAGGTCAACAAGGCTACCCATTCAGCATGAGAGCACCCAAATGGGTGGCACACCCCAGGCCCACATGGCCACCTATACCAGCATGGCAGAGTATGGATGGGTGACACATCCCAGGTCAAAGAGGCCACCTATACCAGCATGGTAGTGTGTGCATTAGGTGACTATTTTTCACATGACTTAATGGTGTACCAAAGGCAGTATCTCATAGCAATGGCAATCAAGGCAGCATGAATGCATGGGGTTGCTCATTTGTTTGCTTAGGAAGCATACATGATCACCACATAACAAACTTGTGCCCTAAGTGATGCTGTTAACTGTAAGCTGAGTGTAGAGGACTGTAGCTTGCAACTCCCTGCCATGAATGATCCTGAGCCACCCCAGCAGGTACTACCCATGGCTGGTGGGTTTCACTGGAGTCAGGTACAAACATGATGCTGCAGTGTTCAGTAATGGTTTATGGTATGGTGTGGGGGCACATGCTGTAATGTGAAAAACCCTGTGCAAGCAATGCAGTGGCAAGGTCAAGTGTCATAGGGTATGTTAATATACACAAAAGCATATATGCTGCTCTTTACAATGCCTGCCTAATGTCATGCTATACTTTTCATTATATGCTTTCATTTCAACATTATGATTTAATTTGATGCTAGTTAAGTTATAACAATTATTTATTAAACACAGCTCAAAATTGATATAAATTCTCTTACACCTAAAACCATTGCATTAAAATAGGCATGAACTGAAGATAATTCAGTCCCTGCATTCCTACCCACAAAACATTGATAGTTTGTAGTCTAGTTACATCACATTCAATATTTTAATGACATCATTACCAATGACCAGGTCATCATAGTATGTACTAATGTTTCAAAGTTCATGCATTCAGTCAATGCAATCATAATGTCTAATAATAATTAATGATTGCATTGACTACAATCTCAGAATTTCAACTTTAAGCTGAAGTTCAACAATCTTATAGTTTTCACCTCTTATGCAGAAAAACCAGGTTTCCAGTACTCACAAACATGCTTCAATTTGGTTTGATAGCCTTTCATATCTGTAATAAAACTAACAATACACTGTAAACCATTTGGTGTCCACAGACTTGCATTCACAATAATTTAACACCATACAAAGCACAACAATGTTATAAATAGCATATAATCATCTGCAACAGTACAGAAGCAGCTCTGTTTACATGGACATGCAGCCACAAGGAACAAATTCACAGACATGACAAACAGTTCAGCTATTTCAGGATGTCCCTTTTCAACTGCCAAGCCAACCTTCCATGAAAGACTGTCAGCCACACAAACACGATCCCGGTCTGGTTTTCAGCTTCACTGTTTGGTGAACAAAAATGACAACACCAGCCAAAACCCATACAGGTCATTTTCCACGTGCATGCAGCAACACCTGCCATAGCCAAAACACCACTTGGATATGTGCATGCAGCACATGCAAATCATACATGCTAAGCATCCTGAAAATTAGACACACCCACGTTATTTAACTGATCAATGCAACGCCACTGTTCTCGTAAAACGAAACTGCGGACACCCAACCCCGGGCCAGAAACCTCCCATGCACGTACCAACCGCAGTTCAGCGAGAATATGCTATGCATAAATCAAGATAAACGTCACAAAATTAGGCCACTTTACGAAGACAGCCCATGGTAGACAGGAAATGCAGCAATGTCTACATATAACCAATGGGAACTAGTTTTATCAATACCTGCTCTCGTATCCCGTGCTCTGATTAGCAAAAACACGCTTGCGATCAATGAAAACGGTTTTCGGAGACGGCTCTATAAAGTGCCGAAAACGGCGCAGCAGCAGCCTGGTCTGTAATGCAATTTTGGGCGAATGACGGTCGTGGTTCGGTGGGTATGATTCGCATTCATACACACCACTTCAAGTGGTGTGTATGACTTGTCAGTACTTATTAATTCAAATGTGAATTCATAAATTAAGAGCTGTATTTCGAATGTTGTGGCCTTTCTTTAGAAAAGGTGCATGGGTAGGACGCTGCTCAAATATACCGTTGAGTTTCTTGAAGACGAAACAGTCGTTCTTGATGTAGGTAGATCTGTGGTTGCATAGGAACGTATTTGTCATTGTATGCCATTGGAAGGCATTGAGTTTTGCTTCCATTGCATTAAAGATGTACATCGTTCTAAGTAAAATTGTTTTGTTATGTTTTCATCAGCTGGTGGGCAGGGATGGTGGAATACATGCACCACACCTCATTGAGAAGATGTGCAGCACCTTTATCAAGGGCAGTAGCAATGCAAAAACATGGTGCTGGGACCAACACCTCTATTTCTGGCATATACATAACACAAGTGAATTTAGGGTATTAACAGCCCAATTTTCTTAATCAATGTCCTTCAAATAACCTATATTCTAGTTTTCGAGGAAGTTGTATGATTGAAGCCTATCATTTTTGATGCCTAAAACATAAGTGATGTCTACTTGGAGAGTACCCAGCTAGGTGGGGCAAATGTGCTGTGTCTAGCTCTGAAGACGCTGGGGCAGCTCGCCCAACAAGCTGTTCAATCCACAAGGCCAGTGGATTGAACAGCTTGTCCTTGAACAGAGCTAGTAGCACCTTTTTGCAGGACTGTCCCATCAAGGACATGTAACAGCTGTGCATACTGTGTTTCTTTTGCTACCATTGCCACCTTTTTGCAGATCAGACTGCTGAGCTGGGTTTTTGGCAGATCAGGAGCTTCTAGGTTTTTCAACCTGTTATCTAATATAAATCAGAAGATGCTTATATACATGATACCTGCAATTGTGTTCCTGAGCACCATTTCATCAAAGATTGTAGCACTGGTGAGTTGATACCTTTTGAAACATGTGGACTGGTTGCATGATTTGCATAATCACATGATGGGAACTTTCAGGCATTGGTACATAGACTGACTGCAAGTGCCAACATGTTCATGATTTGCTTTCTGACACCTTCCCAGGCTGTCTGTTGTGGCCATAGTGGTTTGATGATGCACTCAGTTGGGCATTATCTGGAGTATCTCTGGCTTCCCACCTCTAATTCCCCAGGTGTGTAACTACATTATCAGCATCCAGGGGCTGAATTGTTGGTGTCTGGCAGGTTGTTGGGATGGTGTTGTCAAACCAGCCAATCCCACTGGACCTGCCATCCGTTCATTCTCAGATCGTGAAGTTGCTGCGGCCGAGCGAGTCGTGTTCGCAGGCCGAGCTTCGCCGTCAGATCCGCGAGCTGAAAGCCCGGCTCGCCTCACTCAGCATGGTGGACGAATTTGTCGCCTATGCTAGGCTGGAGCGCCAGCTCAATAAACTGCAAGGAGATTTTAATGCCCTGGGTGAGTTGCAGTATCGGCCTCAGTGTTGCCTTTTGGCGATCTTCATTCGTTTACTATAGCCGTGTTACTTCCAGCTCTATGTCAGCGCAATAACTGGTTTCTAATGAAATTGCCTTTGGTTGATATCATGACATACACCAAAGCATGTTCAAAAAGTAACTTTACCTACTGCTTACTGAATGTTTATGAGCGGTGTTTAATCCGGTTTTGGCTCAGTCATATAACTTTTTGGGAGACACTGGAGGGGCCCCCCTCTCGAAGTAAAAGACTGTTTTGCAGTTTTGGTCTGCTATTGATGACGCTGAATATGACGTCCCAAAAAACGCTTATGGGTGATCTTGAGGACATTGATGATGTTGCGGGTTGTCAAGCTCAGATGTCTTGACAAAGTGTGTTCACCTGATATTTAAATGTTGCAACCAGTTTCAATGATGAAAAGGTCGTGCATGTAATGATACTGTGTGGCCACCCCAGGTAAGTTGGGCCGGAGTGAACTGCATCTATGTTTGTTTGCGTTTGTATGCACCGAGAAACAATACTTTGGGGTTAGGACTGAGTCAAAGGCAAAGGTTTGTATGGTGACCTAATGGACAAAAATAACAATGGACAAAATGGATAAAATGGACAAAAAAACTGAGAAACATTGATATAAGCAAGAAAGGCATTGAGCTTCTTTGTATAGCTTTTGCGACTGTGAGTTTGCGAGTTGTTATTCTTACCATAATGTTCTGATGATAGTCGGTGCTTCCTTGGTAGTTGTTGTAAGGTAAATCGGGGATTAATTGCCATAAGAACGAGAACCTCGGATTTTGGTAGGCATGGTAGCATACTAAATTCTGTTTCGGGGGTGGAAAAACTTCAGTAAATGTATTTTCCCTATCCTGAAGTGGGCCCATAGGACAGACTGACCTAAGCCCACTGCCATGGCGCAATGCTCAGGAGGCGTCAAACTATTCCACAGGCTCACTGGTAGTGTCGCTCGTGTTTCGTGGTTGAAAATTGACTGGGATGCCGAACGTTATAATGCACTGTTGCTTTATCAACTTACTAACCATACAATGACTCGGGTCAATGTCAGGTGACACCGGAAGGGCGAGAAAGATTAGCAAGCAGATCCGGAAACAGCAAATATCTTTAGAGTAAAATTATGACCTGAACTCAAAACTTCTTCATAGCCTTGCAGTGACTGCACATGGTGACGTAAAATGCTGGCTCATCCGTGAACTTGCGTTGCAGACCTGTGCGATAATCGTGGAGGTCCCCCGATAGCACACATAGCAACGTCTTCTTTAATTCCAACCCCATGTTAGGTACCCATCACAACACGAGGTTAACCAAGGATTACAGAGGACGCCATATCACGCGGGAACGTGCCTCTAGTACCCGGCGCGTGACAGGCATGGCCTTAAGATTGCCTGAGCTCACCTTTTACACCCTATTGCAATATCACGTCGTGAGGATGATTATGCACATTAAAGACATGCGCTGACGACGTGAGGTGGGGTAACCTGGTCTGATGTCCGATTAGCGCTGACGGCGTGTGGTAGGGGTGACCTGGCCTGGTGTCCGATTAGCGCTGACCTGACGTGAGGTAGGGGTGACCTGGTCTGGTGTTCGATTAGCGCTGACCTGACGTGAGGTAGGGGTGACCTGGTCTGATGTCCGATTAGCGCTGACCTGGCGTTAGGTGGGGTGACCTGGTCTGGTGTCCGATTAGCGCTGACCTGGCGTTAGGTGGGGTGACCTGGTCTGATGCCCGATTAGCGCTGACCTCATGTAGTCGATTCTCGTCCATTGTCACCAGGGAGGTCATCGCATATAAAACAACACAAAGGGGAACGACCTCCAAACCATTGGGCACCTATGATGGCACTAGTGACGTCCTTTTGCATGACCCCCTGGGCGTGACTTGGTCCGCGAGGTTATGGTACAAGATAGCTGTGTTGCAAGATTGCAGAGTTCGATCGGAGTTCACGCGAGAAAAACGAGGGGAAAAAGTAGCGTTCCAGTGACTCGTGGTTTAAAATAAAATTTGTAATCCGGACTGCCGATGGTGGAATGTTTCTGAATTTTATAAACGCTGCCAGCGATTGATCCACGTTTGTTTATTCCAGCGTCTCAAAGCCGGAATAGTGAGCTCAAACTGAGGCTTCTGATTACGACAATCAGCCACTGCATGACGGTAAGGCAATGTCTCTGTTGAGCTCGGGCCGGCTCTGACCGGTCTTAAGTCACATACTCTTGCCGGGTCGGCGTAACAAGATCCTCGCATTAATGCGGTGTTTGAAACACCCTGTGGGTTCGCAGCCTAGATACCCAGATTGTTTGTCTGGGTTGGACTGTAAAACCACCTTTGCATGACCACAAACCCTTTGTGCGGAGCTTAACCGCTAAACTTTGGTGGTCTTACCAGACGGCTTGCGTAAAGCACGTATCATGGTCTAACCGTGCTACGATTTGACCCGAAGGATCAGTCGTTTTGTGTCGGCGTGTCCATACCGCTGTGCCTCACGCAAGCTATATGCAGGCTGTAGGCGGTGAAGTGTCTGTCTTGCCGCATTGTACGAAGTCGCACGTTGCGGTGGGCAATACATTACCCAAGCAGTCGAAGCGCCGTTAAACCCCGATAATTAACCGACGTGCCATGTAATGACCGTCATGCTGCGGTTATATGCCTTATCCGCGTCGAAAAGTACACTTGCTGTGGACACACCCGGTGTCGCGCTGCATGTACCGGCGTCTCGCTGGATGGCGGCGCACACCTGAGCGTCCGCCGTGCCGCAGGGCGCCGCCATGCTCTACGTGCTGTACGGCCACGGCTCCGAGCCGGTGCTGCAGCTGCCGGCGACGGCCCTCTTTCCGCTCGGCTACCTGCTGGCCGTGCCAGGCTGCGCGCCCGGCGGCGTCAGCGTCGCCTCCTGGATCATCGTGTCCAACAGCGTGGTGCGGCGCGCCGCGGCCGCGCTCATCTAGTGGTGACGTCACCGCTGGGATGGTCGGTGCTGGGATGATGACATCGTTACGAGTGCTGTGTCCGACATTGGTGCGACGGACCGTGCCCGTATGCGTGCAGAGATAACGCCCACAATGGTGTTTTGTTGTCGTGGCAATGACGTCACCTGCGAGATAGTCGTGTTCAAGAGAGTGGTGGCCGGGTGGAGCGGACCATCGCCGCTTGGGGTGGTCATGACGTCATCACCACGGTCACCGTGTAGACTGTACGACGCCGTGGTGCAGAGAGCCGCGGCCGCGCGGTTGGAGCAGCGCCTTGGTGCCGATCCCGCCGCCGGGACAATCATGTACATCGGCCGGACGCGGCGGGGCATGCCTGCATTGTTGTCTTGATAATGTAGCGCTGACGTCACGGCATGGATCACGACCTGGAGCTGTGTTGATGTCAACCGGCGGAGAGGCCGCGGGGCTGGGCTGATGTCGACCGATGGAGTGACTCCGGTGATGTGCTGATGTGGACCGGCGGAGAGGCCGCGGGGCTGGGCTGATGTGGACCGGTGGAGTGACTCCGGTGATGTGCTGATGTGGACCGGCGGAGAGGCCGCGGGGCTGGGCTGATGTGGACCGGTGGAGTGACTCCGGTGATGTGCTGATGTGGACCGGCGGAGAGGCCGCGGGGCTGGGCTGATGTGGACCGGTGGAGTGACTCCGGTGATGTGCTGATGTGGACCGGCGGAGAGGCCGCGGGGCTGGGCTGATGTGGACCGGCGGAGTGACTCCGGTGATGTGCTGATACGGACTGGCAGGAAGTGTCGTCCGGAACGTACGTTGCGCTTCAACCCAACGTATTTTTCATGTAGTATGTCCTGTATTCCCTTGCCGTAAAAAGTCCTCGCCATGTCTAACCTTTGGGCTTTCAACGTGGTTCCGCCATGAATTATTTGCTATCAGATAATGAAAGCCGAATGTGACATGGTTTTTCTCCTTGACCGAGTACGTGACTGCTTACAAGTGGGTAATTGTGCCCTCCGCTTGAAGTGTAAGGCGAAGGATCGTTGAACTCACTTGAAAGTATCCGGCATTCCAATTTCCCAGACGTTGCAACGCAGGCGTCGAAAGGGCTGTGCCACATTTGTATAGGGTTTTGAACTGGTATAGCCATTTTCAAGGTCATTTCGTGCGGTTCAAAGTTATGTCCTTTTTAAGGTTTAGACTCCCGCTTCTGAGCTACACACACGCCAACTTGCGCAGATTATTTTGCGCCGCCTATTTTGTAGTCACCTCAAAGATGCACGACGTCTTAGAGATATCAGACGAATTCCGCCTCATTGGCCATACTGCGTGCAAGATCAAGAAGAAATGTGACCATTGCATCATCGTGTCTGAAGTACGTCTGCACGAATCGCTGCATCAACGGACAGTAGTTGGCTTTCAACTGACTGAGCGTGTTAAATGCAGAATTCGATCTCGAGTCGTGTTTAATGATGCATAATACAGTGAACGGTTTGCAGATAATTACCGGCGAGGTAATTACGTGTCACAGGCCGACTAACTGCGGCGATCGCAAATGGTGGCGAAAACGTTGGCTCACCGATGTCACATGAACTTCCACGAAACAGATGCTTTCAGCCTAGCATAGGCAGCAAACGTCACTTTACTGGGATTCCGCTACTAGTATTCATATATCCACATCATCTGGTGCATGCTTGTCAGTAGTCATATTAAAAGGAGGCCTACATATAGCGTGGCCGCGACGCACAGTCTATGCAGGTGATGTGTAACGATCAGACCCCCTCAGTTATGAGCGCAACCCTGCAGCCATGCACCACGCACACCTCGAACTTTGCCCGCAGTAAATGGTAGCCACCTGGCGCTAGGCCCACCGCGGCGACACCACGTAGCCCAGAATTGTTCTCGTCATTGAATAATGTCGGAATCCCTCATCGACACGCCAGAAAACCCACATCGGCTGATAACACTTTGTCGCCAGAATCACACATCGGCACACCGGATTCCCTCATCGGCTCATATGTGCAAACTTCGCCTTCTGGAGCCGCTGTAATAATTCCAACAACGGTAACCTTAGTGACCGAATTCACCGCCGTTGCTCTGGGTCAGTTATTCATAGTCATCTTAGCAAACCCATTTCTATGGACGTATGTCAATCCACCAACGATAAAAATCAACCAACTCTTCGAACAGCCCACCACCCTTTTGCGATTTCTGCTCTCTGGTAGTCGCAAGAAAGCAGCTGAAACGTGAGTCTCAGGTTCTGCAAGTCGCGAATCCATCAACAGTATCCTACACGTGCTACTTCTACTTTCACTGGCGGCCGGTTGCGTGCAAAAATGCGGTCCACCTCATCTGTGCGTCGCGGAGAGATCGACCCACAGCCAATTTCCTAATTTATGCAGGGAGCGGGACCTTTCAACCCCCGGCTAGACAACTGCATACGGACCGCGTAGGACTTTCTCCATCGCTCTCCGCGATGAGTCACGTCGTGAAGCATTTGTGACGCGCTCAGCCTGTCGCGACAAAAAGTCTTCGACTGCGGTCCTGAAAAATTTACAGTCACCCAACGCTGCGCGTAAAATCTGAGCTACGCGAAATAACTAATTTGACGTACATATGTGGACCTGATTGCGGCGCATCGCATCTCATGGCGCGAAATTCAGCCCGCAAATTATTCATTGACCTGCTATTTTTCTGCAGACTTTTCACTGACACACATAAAGAACTGCCAGGCGGAGGACGGCACGCCGCTTAACAACACACAAATATTGTTAGTTGGAAGTGTAGGCGCCAAGCGCCCGGCAGTCGGCGCGCCAGGTCGATATGGTCTCCCGTCACTGCGTCCGTGTCAATGTCGCTCCGACAGCCGACCCTCACTGTTACGATACTGTCCGAACGTGCCCATGTACTGTTTGAACGTGCTCATACCCCGCGGGGTCGGCGTTTTTAAAGGGCCGTCCCTATTTATCGTCCTGGCGCGCGCGTCTGGAACGAGCGCCCGGGCCAAATGTAACGGACGAAAACCGTGCTCGCATATTGGGAAAAGCATGTGGCCCGCGGCGGACACATACGCCACGCGCCACAATGCTGCTGCGTCAATGAGGATTCCTGTGTTGATCCGGGCCAAATGCGTGGTCAGAAGGCCTCCCGCGTCAGGGAAGAGAACAATGTGATGTAATGTGTCCCTCTAAGGGCCTTCGGATCGATCAGGGGACCCCGCCCCGTGCAACCAGAAAGGCAGCCGGGAGACACCCCGCGATACGATGGAATGGCCATTCAGCCCTGTACCGGGAACAGTAATGTGCCCCTAGTGTTCTACTTAAGGAGCCCCTTGCCCGGAAGAAAATAGGGGGTCTCATTGTTGAATAGAGTGGGTCGAAATGAGTTTTACAGAAAAAAACGAACAAGGCCATCTCATGTTTGCCTAAGAACGTCCATGATTTTTCAGAACGGATAAGTGCAGCAACTGACATCAAAAGGCTTAAACATGCCCGCTCGGGATCCCGGGATGGCCTGCGATGGCCTGGGCTACAGCTGCCGTAAAACTGAACGGCGTCGGCCACTGCAAGTGATACCAGCCGGCAGGCGCCGTGTTAATCGGTCCTCTGAACAGATAAACAGTTACAGTAACACGAAAAATACAGATTCTACCTTTACTCTTCCAGTCTCACCATCAGACTCCAGAAAAAAATTGACTAGCCCCACCACCAGATTCCACCAACAGATTCCAGTTTCACCACAATTCCAGCGCCTCGTGGTGCTGGTGTCCTAGCGTCCATGTCCTAAAGCGTTCAACCGTACTTGCTTCAAAAACGTCATCATTTTCGTCCAACCGTTGGCCACAGCCCAGTGGTAATCGCTTGGCCGATTGCTTGGCCGAGTAATCGCTGCTCGGTCTATGGAGACTGCAACGCCTGGCATCGAGGTTTTTGTTGCTAACATTTGCGAACGCGCATGTTTAAGACTATGTTACATAATTTGTATGGCTAATCAATTCTGACTGAGTGTTACACATTTCCAGACAAACGCGGCTTGGCCATGTTTATAAAAATGTTGCCCCATTTTGATCTACACTCTACCTTCGCGGGGACCTTGATTTGTCTGCAGAGCCCAGATAAAAATCTTGATAAAGCTGCCGAATTATATTGGTTTAGAAAGAGTCCACTGAACCAATGTAAATTGGTGACTTGTTCCATGCAGTCGATTAACGTCTAATTTCTGCAGTTTACTGACTTTAAAATATAAACGCAATGCATTTCGCGGTAGTTTCTGGTTTCTGTCTCTGTTCTGTTTGCAAGGTAAAATTAGAAATAAAACGAAGAAAGCCGCGTCCGTTGTTAACAAGCAAGCTATACCCAGCGATCCGGCGATTTTTTTTTGTGGGGGGTTCAGCATCAGGGCGGCTTTTGTCAACCCTGCGCCCCCACCCGGCAAGGCTCTGGCTATGCCCCTGCCTACGTACAAAATTAGGTCAATCTGCTAATTGAAGAGTAATCGAATGTCCGTTGGACGGATTGCAAGACCGTTAGATCCGTTGGTCCGATTGGGGTGCAATGGAAAATAACCCAGAAGCAGATATTGATTCAGGTTCCAATATTTGATTTACGCAGCAACGAGTAGTAATGGTGATCCTTAGATATGCTGCAAAGCAGCCATACGATCAGTCCTCGATCCGTCATGCGGGGGACAGCCGGGCTAGGGCAGTGGCCGCCGACGGCGCGCGGAAGCAGGGCTCAGGTAAAGAATATATGGGAAAATGGCCTTCATTCTGCGACTTGTTTTTACAAGTAAAACTCAAGTTTCATAGCTTTTGCCGCATTGTTTTTTGGCAGTTGGCGTCTGAAGCTTCCGAATTTGTTTCCGCCTAAAATGCTGCGACAAATGTTACCTCTTGAAAAGCAACCGGCGAAATCTAGGCGCTTGAAAACTCTGGCGCACCATGGGCCATCGAGTCGCATTCAAAATTCTGACCAGCCTATGTCTAGGTCGTATTTTGGCATCTACCCTGTGAAGCAAGAAGCCTGCTCAATGATCCAAAGTGCCTACCCGCTCGTGGAATTTCGCCTCTCCAGGGGAAGCAATGTTGCAATGGCCGAGCGATCCTGGGACGTTGGATAGCCTTATTTGCCGAACGGCATAAATGAGTCGAAAAGGCAAGACTTTGCGCCAGTGAGAAACAACTATAGATGTATATCCAGCATAGCAGCCATGACATTCAGGTATTTCTAAAATATGTGATGTGAATTAAGAGCGGACAATAAGCTCCGTCCCTACCCCTCTCCTCTCGGTAACCGGGCTTGCTTCCCAGGAAAAATCCCTGAAATCTACTCTGAGCCCACCCCCATTTTAAAAACGTTCCTACGCCTATATCTTGATGAAGCAAAGGGTCTCCTGAGCCCGATTTATTGCTCTGCTCTCTTGCTCACTTATGGGGGCTTTCTTAATCTGAATCTTGGTGGTCTACGTGTAGCTCTAATGCCTGTGTTTGAAAAAGCGGCTTCCAAAAATAGGGGAGGGGCGAGGACATGCTCTTGCCCCTCCCGCTGCCTGCCAGTAGAGGGAGGAGCTGCCTCTCTTGCTCTCTCCCTTTCCGCTGCGCCGTCCCTGCGCATAGTTACAAGTGACCTCTTTTAATTATGTCTGATGCTTACCTCCATATCTTCAACCGCGGAACTTTTCATTTCACGAGGATGTGACGGCCGCACCACACTGGCTGCTTAGATACAGAGCGCGCCGGCGTGTGACCGCCCACGTGCACCATGGGCGGTGTTGGGCGCCACCGTGTGACCATGGGCGGTGTTGGGCGCCACCATGTGACCATGGGCGGTGTTGGGCGCCACCGTGTGACCATGGGCGGTGTTGGGCGCCACCGTGTGACCATGGGCGGTGTTGGGCGCCACCGTGTGACCATGGGCGGTGTTGGGCGCCACCGTGTGACCATGGGCGGTGTTGGGCGCCA